TGCATTTTAGTTTTTTTTTTCATATAAATAATGCTCTTAGTAAAGTTTGGCTTTTGATATTTCTAATAACATGTATAATGGTTTCTCTTCTAATACTGAAATATTCATCTTGTAGGTGTAAATTTTTATTCTTATTTTCTTACTATGCATTGAGAAAAAAAGTTTGGAAATAACACCATGCTGAGATAGTTCCATGATCCTAAAATATCAGTTTCTGAAGTCTGTGTTATAACTATATCATTTAAATTCTGGATAAAGTAAAAATTAATTAATGCTTAAACAGAACAAATAGGTATTTGAACATTTAACAAATGATGAAAGAATGATAATTATGTGACTAACAGTTATTCTTTTCTAGAATTAACAGTGGCCCAACCTGTTAATGTTAACAGATGTTTGTGATTTAGTTCTACTTGGTTTGTTTTTACAGAGATTTCATTAGCATTTTTGAACACATATAGTATATACCTATTATGACTATACTTATGCCTTTATTCAAAACATACTCGAATAATATAGCAGTGAGTCAGTAAGTGTAAGAAATTTCAGCTAACTAGAAAATTTATTTCAGCACCATAATAAGTGAGGGAACATAAGTAGGACATATAAACAATCTTACACAGAAGCTTCCAAGGTTATATGTGGTCAGAACATTTTCTGTACACTTTTCTTCAGCTGTATTTCTCTACATTGTAAATTATGCCCATCTATGACTCTGTAACATCATGTCACTAAAAATAAAATTTTATTCATCATATTACAGCAGAAAAATATAAAATTTTTCTGAAAAATTTTCTAGAATGTATGTCTTCAATTGACTTTTAATTAAAAATCAAGCCATTTAGTAATTCCTATTCTATGACAAATGTGTAATCTAGTTTTCTATTTTAAGTCTTTAAAATTGTACACTTGCACTTTTGCTACTAAATCTAACATCCCCTTGGGGGGTGGTGCAAAAATTTGATGTAGTGTGATTGTCAGGCTATAATATTAATCTGTTACAATTACGTGAGACCTCTAATTCTATTCTTACTCGCACATACGTGACTGTTTACAGAATTTACAGAATATACTCTGTTGTTTAAAAACTCCAAAGGTGGCAGTTTAAAGACTATTTTGTTGCTAATAATAGCTTAATACCTAAAACAGTGTCCTTCACAATGTAAATTAAGCAGGGAAATATGCCAATTCTGACTTCATTTCCATCCTGCTGAATGACTGTATTCACTCTTCAGATTTAAAGCACTTCATTCATTGTTCCTCAACATTCTTTTTAGAATTCCAGCTTGCTTTTTACCTTGTTTTCACAGTTTAACATAGATGGCTGGATCAAGTCCATTGTGTCCAATTGTATGCAGCTTAAAAAGCTCTGCAGTATTTCACTCGGTCCATTGTATCTGGCTTCCCGAGTGCTCTGCTCACTGCGTTTCACTTGCGCTCTCTGCTTTCTAAACCTATTTATGCCTACTCTTTTTGAAGACATTTGTTCATCTGGGAGCTCAAATTGACTTCTCTCCATTCTATTTCCGTAACTAAAAATGCACCATTAAGGTTGATTGAACTCTTTTAAAGCACTTTATAAAAAATGAAAGGCCCTATGAAAGTGGGCTATCAGTGTTTGTAAATATGTTTTAAGCCAAATTGATAGGAAGAAATGTGAAATAATTGGAACTTTAAAATGCTATTGAATTTTTTTTTTAACAGATTAGTCTTTTGGGGGAATCCTCTGAGCGGCACACTTGTAAACATTTTGGCAGGAAGGGGAGAAGTAACACAAGTTATAATTCACAATAGAACGAACAGAGCCAAACCACTAGAATGATCAAAAACATCTAGAAAAAGCCTTATTATACAATACTAAATAAAACAATTAGGTCACGAATAATACAGCTTTGAAATATCACTACTTTAGTTTTTTTCTAATAAAACACAGTTGTCATTTTCACGGTTTGTGGAACAGATCACCACTGAACTTTTTCTATTTATAATATTTAAAAATTGCTGGTGGGAAATATTTTTAAACATTTAGAAATTAATTAAACTTATTAAAAATCAGAAGAAAATTTAGAATACTATTTGTGGAAAGTATTTCATATTTATTTCTATTTTCATGTCTGATTACAATGTACTTCATTTACAAAACACCAAAATATGCCATTTTGGATTTTCATTCAATGCATATAGAAAGATTACTACATTTAATGATACAATACAAAGAAAAATCTGTTCTAAGTTTAAAGTTAGCATTTCAGAGTCATTAAAATCTTTCATGGCACATGGCAATGCTGGATGATTTACCTGAAAATTTTTTTATTTACCTAAAAATCACACAGTTATGGTAAGGTCTAATAAAATATAAAAGGCAAATAATTTAATTTCATGTAATTAGTACTTTCAAAGATACTTGAAATTTTCTTTGAATGTGCTATTTTTAGGTTATAAATCTCATGGGTTTTTTCCTATGAAATCGTTAACTGTAGCTTAATCTCAAGAAAAAAATCATCAAAACCAAATTTTAAGATAAAAAGTACATCTATTGAATCCAATAAACGTTTTTGAATAATTTACAAAACAATTTTATTCGCAAATAAAAGCAAGAGTAATAGAATTGTATGTCTAATATTTTTGTAAGAAACATACATGTAGAAGCCAAATATTTCTAACAAAAAAAACTGTGTGCCTTGTTGACCTACTTCTAGAAGACAGCCGTGAACTTAAATTGTGATTGGGTAACGGTTTTTTCTTTAAAAATATTTCAATATTAGAGGAAACTGCAGAAAGATGAACAAGAAGAGTTTTGTCATTTCCCAGAGTCCCTAGGTTTATACAGGTGCACCAGAAAAAAATGAGCCAGTTTCTAGCTCATAAACAAAGTAATTTGGTCGGATTCACTTACTATCCAATAGAACTTGGCCAATAGTGATTGCTTCTGCTCATTTAGAAGTATAGCTCACTTCCTTTTTTGTAAACCCTGTTCTATTTACCAGAAACTAAGACATGACTAAGATCCAACGTCTTAAAATGAACACTTTTCATAAATGATAGTTTATGAATAAATAATGACAAGACTTGTTACTTATATATGATTATTTCAAAACTAGTTAATGGTGCCTGTGAAGACACCATGCAATGTAAATTCACATAATACGGTATATGATGTACATTCTAGGCAGCAACATATTCACAACCATTGATAATTTTGGACTAAAAGAAAAATTCCAGAGCTATAAAAAAGAAGTAACTAGGTTTTTATTGAACAATTAATTATGGTTAACTTTCAAGTCTAGAAATCAGAAGATCAATTTGAAATCACCTATATTCAGATCAGTATTACAGTCTTCTGATCTGCAGTTAAAAGCGCCCTGACTTCTTACTCGATAGGGTGGTTGTGGAATTAAACACTGAAAACAAGTCATACAATCATGCATATGATTGCATGCAAAATAAATATACCAAGACACTTGCTGCAAGCAAAGAAAGAATACCTCAGTGTAGAAATCATACATTTTACCTGTGCTAAATACACTGAGCTTTTCAGTTTTTGTATATGTTAGGGCTCTACATCAGCTTATTAAATAACACACTGGTAGTAACTAATTGCCTATTCCCTTGAATTGAAGAAGCAAAGAATCTGGAAGGGAAGGAGATGTAAACAGAGTTAAGATGTGTTGTGTACGTGTACTAACTCCCCATTATGAATGTAATCACAATGTACTGCATATGTACCAATAAAAATAACAATTAAAAAAGGAATCTGGAGTTGAAAAAAATCTAGGATTCCATGTGATATGTACTGTTATTTTTATTTGTTTTTTTGCTTGTTTGTTTTTGTATGAGGGATTGAACTTGGGTCCTTGTGCTTGCAAGGCAGGCGGCAGAAACACTGAGCTAAATCCCCAGCCCATGTACTGTTATTTTTAAAAGCCATAGCTTCTCTATATATAAATGAAGACGTGCCGTGCCATGCCTACTATATCACGTTATTACTACGGCATGTAAAATATATGCTATAGTTTGTGCTTGTAGGTTTAAAGCAGTTGGTTTGTTCAGTTTGTTAGAAATAATTTTGAACTTAAAAACTTCAATTTGTGGATTATGTACTTAAAAATAATTTAGAGAAGATCTAATATCACTCCTACAAAACACCATTTCCATTCAATGGCATTTCTCCTTTAATTTGTTAAATAGGAAAGGGCTGGACTCACAGCTTGCCTTATGAATTGCATGTAACCATACATTAACCTATCTAGGTATTTTCCACAGAGTCACACATCACATCAGTAACATTCTGATGCCATGCAGAAAAAAATTTAGAACCACTCTTCCAAGTCATATTAGCCTCCCCCTACCCTAGTGCTTTACTATGAAATCAACTCTGTATGGAAGATTTTTGAAAGTTGGTCTCTGTATTTTATCCAGCACTGAGCAATGTATAGGTGCAGGTTTATTATTAGTGTCACCTTCAAATTATGTACTAAAATATTTCACTTTCAAGAATAAGTTCAGATGTAAGTAAAAGTCAGAAAATGTAACCGTTATACCTCAAAGTTTTAATGTGAACATGAAAACCACATGAAAGAACTGAAATATATTAAATCCATGGGAAATGGCTGAAATATGCAAAATGTTAAATGGATATGGTATAAGTCGTGGCTTTTCTGCTTTACACTCTTTTTGTTCCTGAACTTTCACCAGTGATAACTCATTACATTTATTTTTCCCACCTGAATATTCAAAAAGACATTTTCAGTTAAAGCAATATATTCCATATTTCATTTATAAATAAGCATAAAAGAAAAAACAGGTGATGCCAATTCAGTAATAAAAAAAGAAACATAATGAAAGCAGTAGTCAAAACTAAAGGGCAACAAAGACATCTTCTGGACATTTTAAGAATTACAGGGTTTTTTTTTTTTAAACAAAGGATCTTACTTTCATGAGAGTCTAACCGTTATTTAAAAACCACACACGTTAAGAAGTACAAAGTTTATAATTAGGTATAAATTATAAATATGATTAAACTATAAATACAGCATTTAAAGAAGAAAACAAAATTATTACATATACGTTGAATTATGTCACTTCTAAAATAACTCTGAAACTCTTTCCAGGTAAATTGTAAAGTCTAAATATTCTCCTAAGAACAATTTATTGTTATGCAAGGAACATAAAGATGAAAACTAGATGCAGTGTTAAGTCAATACTTTAGAACGGAACACTTTCTGAATTATGGGGCCCACTTAATAACAAAATATATTGGTATGTTAGTCATCAGTTTAAAGAACTACATTTAGCAAGCTAATCTAAAACCGTACTTTAGGCAATGTAATAATGTAGAAATATTATTTCCAGTCAAATGTAATTATCAAAAGTCCAAACTGTTCCCTCAATTTGAACAGCTATTCTTTTCAGCCTGAAACTTCTTGTAGAATTATATTACTGTAGGCACAGTTAATAATTTGTATATGAAATATGAATTTTTATTCTTAGAGCAGGAATGATCGGTTGCACCATAGGTACATTTAAAACTAGCACTGATGTACAATATTTGTATCTCTAAATGATTTTTGAGTGTAAACTTGGTTTGAGTATAGCTTTTTGGAATTATATTTTTAAAAATTAATCTGTAGCAACTCAAATAGCAAAACATGTTCCTTAGTAATAACTGTTTGGTAAGAAATGTATGCTTTAGTTTGAAATAAATAGATGACCTACAAATTAAAGCTTGCTTATTTCTTAAATTTACTATTTCTTAATATCTTCATATGACAGGCCATAATGTGATTTTATAACTAAATTCTTCTAATACTAGAATGAAGCATTTCATTCTCTAGACTTTGACATCACCTATACCTTTCAAATTGTTGTATGTTTTAATAGTTCATGATTTTTTAATACAGAAATTCAAACACATAATTGACATAGCCATAAATAAAATTTGAAAGAGGCTGATATTAAATTCTTCATGTATGATAGGTTATCTTCACAAGGAAGTTTTTCAATAGCATAAGTAACGTGATTATCTTTTTTTCTTTACTGACTACTGTCTGCTAGCTTTTGCCCAACTACTAAAACAAACAGTTTTTTGGTGTGTGCTCATTTTCTTTTTTTTATTTTAGGCAGCTGTATATGATTTGATCTGGGAAAGTTGCTTCCAGGCATTCTGTAAGAAATAAAACATCCATGCATCAAACAATGGTGACTTTTAATTCTTAATGGCTTGGTTAACTTAAGATAACTCTGTAATAAATATTTTATATGCATACAATCTAAAACATATAAAGGAAGAAAATGATCCTATTTTGGGCTATTTAAAAATTGGATTATCCTGGGGACTCACTGAAACACAGCTGATTACAGCAAGGGACGTCAGTGCAACAAAAGCCCCGCGTAAGTGAAGTCTGCTGCTGGGGGCGGTCTTCCTAAGAGATGCTGAATAAAAGCGGAGTTACAGAGAAGCTGCGGCAGGTAACCCTTTGAAATCCAGGCAGGGAAGCGCTGATGAGCAGAGTGGGCTCTAAGTGAGGAGTAACAAGGTTGTTGGGATGGAGCTTGTCTCTGGGGCTTGGTCCAGACTGGAGGCAGGGGGAACGTGCTGAAGAATTTACAAAATCCTCTGGCCTCACAATTTCAAAGTTGTATAAAATGCAAGTGAACAACTTTGTATATTCAGTGCATAGAGTAAGGGAAGAGAAAATACAGTTAAAAGAGGTTAATCGTAATTACAAATAATTATTACAGCGTTACCCTACTAAAGCAATTAGTATTTGACCTTGATAATCATCTCAAGTCTTCTGAATTATGATGTAAAGATACAGGACTTTGGGTAAGGAAGGTTTGGAGACATGAGAAAAGGATTCCTATGCTGAAAGCTTTTCTCAGTTACCAGAGTAAATATATAACAGTTCACAGTACAGTAATATTGCCTACTTTTATATATGATTTGCAAATACGGAGGCTTTTTGAAACGGTGAGGAGTGGTATCACAGCATAGAATGAGAATAGCTTCACCTTCCCTCCTCTTGGTTGCTCGGGTACATTTGGGCAGTCGGAGATGCGACATTCGGATGCGATGAAACAGTTGGAGAAAGATTTATTCCTCTTAGTTGACGAAAAGCGATTTCTGCATGAATGCTTCGAGAATTATTTGACAAAATCCCTGTATTCCTGTTTTTTTTGTCTGGAATTAGGAATCCAGACAGTTAAAATTGTAAAACAATAAGATGCATTAAATAATAAAGTCTGGTTGTTCTTAAACTGAATGTATATTCTATATAGGTTTCATTTTATGAATTAAAATTTTTAAATAAAAATATGAATTGGTACATGTGGCTAAAATTTTTGTGTGGTGATGAATCAATCTGATCCTTTCTACTGAAATATAAATGTCTATATCTACATATTAATATAAATGTCTATATCTATATATTACATACATCTGTAATACAGAGACACAGATGATTAAATGACTATACATTTAACGGTAAGAATTTAGGCAGCATCGTGTGACAATAGGAAATAAATTAAGGACTTTTGCAGAAAGTCCTAAGAAATGGTTGGATAAAAAATCCTGAAGAAAGTTATATTTGAAGGAAGTTTTAAAGATAAATCCAGAATTGAACTAATGTAAAGCATGACATTATTAAAGATGACATTGTACTATAAACAAGCTAATATGTCCAGTTTTTTTCTACAGTTCTATTTACTGGTCAAAAATTTAAAGGTCCTCCTTATGATTAAAATTTTAAAGCCATAAAGATGTACGAAAAAGAAGTTAGACAAAATAAAACATCACAACAGAGTAAAATTTGCTGGGTTTGTTTTTAACTCGGTTTCCTTTAAGAACTGTAGCCACGTGGACTCACCCAGTAGGCCCCCAGATCATCTTATAATTAGTATCAGATTCAATTTTATTGTCTAAGGACAAAGGGAGAGGTTAAAAGAAAGAAAGAGAGGATCCCTCAAAAAAGAAAAACTATCCCCAATTTTGTCAAAATAATAGATAGACAGTAAAGATCTGGAGTTAGGGAATGGGCTTGTTCTAAACCTGAATAGACACAGAAATGTACAGTAATAAAATGAATCATTTCCATGTCCTATTCTTCTGTTATATCTTCTCTTAAACTATCTCTCAATTATCTTTCTAACTCTTGAAAATTGTACTATCAGCTTTCTGAATTTACTGGTGGTTTCATGGAAAACATATGATACCTTTGTAAGATAGTTTCTATGCCCCAAGATTCTGTTACAAATTTCTGATTTCTACTTTTAGCAGAATTCACTACCAGATACAGATACAAGATATAAAATTGAAATAAAATCTTTGGAAGGAAGACAGCAAATAATTGTGCAAGTAGATGTCTCAAGGTTACTGGGAGAGAACAAATAGGATACAACGTATTAGAATCTGAGTAGAGGAAAAAACACTCTAGTCTCTGAAATCAGAAATTCAATAAGAAAATTTGAATAAGCATGCAATTTTAATAAATGTAAATTAAAAATTTTAGTAACATTAAAATGAAAGTAAGATTTTTGTTTCAAATGGAGTGGATTCCCCCCCCCCATTCTTTCTGAAACTCTGTCAAAATACCTTCAACTTCAGGAGTTAATGTGAAATCAGGTCCCAAGTAATGGCTGAATCCGGCAGGCAGAATTAGGTTTGTTATTTTAATGGGAGGTGCTTTCACTGGGCAAAATGAGCCACCATCCATAGGAGAACTAGTACCAGCAATCAACTGCTCCAAAAACAAAACAGTTACAAACAAACTTGAGTCAAAAACTCAGATCAACAACCTTAGCCCTTATCACGAGGTTCATTTGACAATTAACTTAAAAATTTTTAAATCAGCAAACTCAGAATTGGTAAATGACAAAGCTTTTGGGTGGTTAATGTCCCTCAGAACCTTCTGTTTTTCCAGACTGTATTTTCATCACTAGAAGCTAATACTTGATGGTGCCATCCCCTTCCAGAGCATCTTAATAAGACAAGTAGACTCCTCACTTTTGTAATACTTCTTCCTTTTCTATGAATAGAAATTTCTGGAAGGTAAGAATTGTTTCTTCTCTAAGTCTGCATTACTATACCTCAGGTGTTTTGCAGTTAACCAGTTTTTTTTCTTTCTAAAACCAAGTAAATAAAAGTGAGGACTAAGAAATGCATCTTAACACAATTTTAACGAATGTAGTAAATATGCTCCACAAGAGTTAAATTACCTTTTAGCCTGTTGAAGATTGTCTTTCAAAAGAATTTCAGGAATCGGCGAACAGAGGAGGAAAGGATCTCAGCCAGAGGATTCTTGCTTTCCCTAAGAATTTATGCCTGCTCTGTTTTCATTCACATAGTGACCTCATTTATTCTTTGAAAGATATGAATTCTGGTTCAACTTATTTGGAGACAGGCCTTTGCCGTTTGTGAAATCACAAATTTAACTCATCCTTTAACGTCACCAATGGTGCAGCACTGAAACCTATGCTAAGATACCCGTCCTTTCACAAAGGCTGTCCAGCCCCAAATCCCCTCACTAAATTCCTTTGTAGGAATTCCCATCACTAAAAAGAGCACTCTCAAATTTCCCTCTAAAACCATATCAAAGTGTTTTGGTCTGAAAGACAAATTTTAGAGTGTTATGTATTTCTTCCTATTTTGTTATTAAAAAAGAAAGTATTGCATTAATGGAAATAAAGACACCGATAAACTTGGACTGATAAACTTGAAAGATTTTCCATCTTTGTGTCTCCACAGATAAAAGAAATAATGACTCAATTTTGTTCTGGCAATAAAAATAAGAATTACTGTTGAATTATAAAATATATTTCTCTAAAAGAAAGACTTTACCTGTCCTCTTTACTTTATGAATCAAACATCAAGCATATGCAACCATTCCAACCTAAGCTTCTGGATTTCAATGTTTAATCATAAAACATTTGGTCATTCCGATTCTGTTTTGCTTTGCTTATCATTATTTTTCCTCCTCATCATTATTAATTACTGATATCTTAACAGGATTTGTCATTAAAGTGGCCATTGTGTAAATACAAATAATAGATATTTTACATTTACTATTTGAGTCTCATATTTGCAGTATTGCTATTTCCAGAAACAATATATCTCATAGAAAGAGGAATAAAATGGAGGAATCAAAATTAAATTTAAATAAAATAGAATGAAGGGAAAGAGTTAAATTCTTTACTATAGCACCGATTCAAATGGCAAGAATATGTATCAAGTACAACACAAGATGACATCATAATGGAGTAAGGAGAAAATCCGGGCATACTATATGATAAACAGAAAAACAAGCAGCAAACAAACCTTTGAATGAAATATTTATCCACAACTAAAATTTGAATTCATATATTTTTGTTAAATTAAACCAATTTAATAATTATATATGGAAAGTGGGATCCTTGTAGTTTTTCTAAGTGATTATTTAAAATTTACAAACATTCCCTGAAAGTAGAATTTACGCATTTCAATGTGCCAAACATTTCTGTAGGTCTCTCGCTGGAGGCCTCACACATGATACGGCAGAAAGAATAATTCTCTTTCCACAAAGTATCCTAATTTCCAAAGCCTGTGAATACCTTCCCTGACAGGGCAAAGGAATTTGCAAGCGTGACTTACTTAAGGGCTTGGAGATGGGGAGATTACTCTGGATGGCCAGGCCGAGGGACACTGGCGGTGACAGTGAGAGAAGGAGGCATGCTAATGGCAGCAGGGGTCTCAGCGATGTCTTGGCTCAAAGAGGACCCAAGCCAAGGAATGTAGAGAGCCTGGAGAGGCGGCAAATGGCAAGAAACTGCTAGTCCTCTGAAGCTTCCAGAAGAATGCGGCCCAGCCAAGACCTTTGATTTTAGCCCTCTCAGACCCATTTTCACACTGCTGACTCTAGAACTGTGAAATAACAAATCTGTGGTACGTCAAGACTTACTAGGTCTGTGATAATTGTCAGGGGGAGGCAATAGGAGACTAATTCATGGTACAAGTTTTTCAAGAGTGACTTGCTCCAGGAATAAAAGTACAGAAATAAAAAGAAGGCTTGAATCACTGAACTGAATTTTATTTGATCATTTGTTCTCTTTTGAAGACTAAAGCCTATGATAAAATCTTGAGTAGATGACATTAGACAGTATTCTTTCTTAGTTACACCATATAGATAAGTTGCTAGGTTTTATTTCCTCCTATGGGGTATAGATTTTAGAAAAAATTTGTAGATATTTACAAATAAATTTCCTTTGCCTAAACTAATTTTTATTAACACTGTACAACTTTAAGTCTCATAGGTCTCTGTTCCTACTTTGACCTGTAATAGAAGCTTGTTAATAAAAAGTCAAGATTAATAGAAGCCATTAAAAATTATAAATATAACACATGCTCATTTTTTAAAAAGCCCATAAAAGTACAAATATTCATCAATCTTTTTTTTTTCAGTGCTGGGGGTAGTGCTCACATGTGCTAGGCAAGTGCTCTACCCTGAGTGGACATTCCTCATCTTCATATTAATCTTTTTTTTTTTTGGTACCGGGGATTGGACTTGGGCCCTTGGGTTTGTGAGGCAGGTGGTGGAACCACTGAGCTAAATCCCCAGCCCGCATATTAATCTTTTGATGCAGGCTGAAGCCTCTTCTGTAAGCCAGCAACCTTTGGTAGTTTGTTCATGGATAAATCACACTCTTAATGTTTTGCTTACAATTTCTACTTTTGGTTTCTTTAAAATACCACTAATTTAAAAACCATGTAGAATATAAGACTTTGTCTAGAGTTTGGAAAATTTTCCTACATATTTTCTCTGGGTCTTTATCATTTTCTCCCATCTTGGAAGATATTTTTTCCCTCCCATCCTAATTTAATGATATGTGTGCGTGATGGCTTTTTATCCAGACTTTCCAAAATATCCACCTTGATTTTCAAGGAAACACAGCAATAATAATTTATATTTTACACTTTCAATTTATTTGCTTCTTTATAAGAAGTAGCATAATAGGTTTTTAAAAAACATAACCAACTCTTGATAAGCGTGAGAATTCACAGCTGACAGGAGAAGTGGACAGGGAAGAATCCACGAGTATCAAAAGTTCCCTAAATTTGGGAATTGTGCATTTATGGAGGAAGGAAGAGGGGCAGTTACAAAATACAGAGGGCATTCAGAGCCCATGAGGAGGGCATTCAAAGCAGTCCTTTTCTTTCTTCTTCCAGATCCATTTCTAAAAGCCTTCCTTCTTACTTGACTCCAACATCTCTGGCTTCACTTAAAACTGGCTCCCGATCACTCTCCACCCTGGTACTCCCAGGTCTTCATAACACTTCTGATGGGTGATTCCTATAATCTCAGCTGGCTGAGGTGGTAGTAGCTCAGTGGTAGAGCATTTACTTGCCTGGCATATGTGAGGCTCTGGGTTTGATCCCTAGCAATGCAAACAAACTCAGTTTCAATTACTTTCCTGCTTTCCACAGCCTCCTTTTCAAATCTTACAAAGTCTAAGCTCTAATAGTCTCACCACCAGCCATACATTTTTTGTTAAATTTTGTCTTTGAGGATGGTTGTGAAGAAACTGGTGGTCAATGATAAAACTTCCTACAGATACATGTTTTGGGCTTCTTCCATTTCTACTTTCTTTCTGATATGGGCTGATACATTTTAGAGCTCATGGGTAGAAGGCCCAGATACTCTGCCAATACATAAAAATACAGGCACCAGTCCTCCTTGAACTACACAATCCAGAGAGTTGGGATAAGAATTTCTTCATCCCTTCCTCTCTGGCAAAATGGAAACAATTTTGTAAGTTTCTATTTATGAAAGGACAAGTACTCAGGTACTAAATAATTTAGCTCATGTCAAAGCACACAACGAGCATGCAGATATTGATAATTTACATCAAAGATAAGAAAAGGAATTTCTTTTGATGATAGTAATTCGTAAATACTAAAATGATCTACAAAACATCGTGCGTGTAAACAAGTCAAAGTGTGTAGGATTATAATGCTAACAATTTATCTCTTTCAAAAGGAAAATATATAAATAATATAATCACCGAATTTTTCTTTGCTTGTAGTTCAGAGAAATGGAATTCAGCTTTTACCCTATCATCTGAATTTACAGGAATTCCATCTAACATCTGTAAGTTAGGCAGTCGAAATATGAGCACATGGCGATGAAGAATTTTTCTGCAAATCTAAATGAAGTTAAAAATAACAAATTATTCCTGAAATCACTTTTGTCTCAAAGATTAGCCTTTAAAAGAAGGAAATTTAGCACAGGCAGCAAAGATGACAGATTAATGGCTACTTTATAGTATTAGATGTGATAGATATGAACTCACTTTCGAAAGATTTCTCAATTTCCTTTCATGTCAAATGAAGGTAAGAATATTCTTTACTAGGGTTATTTTTAAATTTTTTTCTTCATTGAGTTTATTGGTACAAGTTAGGTATACAGCACAGTTACATTCATCATTGGGATCTTGGACCTTTACATGACAGGTCTTGGTTCTCATTTTTTTCCCTTGCCCTGCCCTCCCTTCACCCCCTCCTCCCTTCCCTATTTACAAATAGTTTTTTTCCATTTTTTCATTTTATCATATTTTTTCCCTTATGTGAAAAATTGTAATTGTACATTAAGATCCTAATGGTACAATTGACAATGTGAAATAGGAAGAAAAGGGCTAAAGGTGTAGGGGAAGTGGGAAGGGTAGGGGAAAGGAAATAAGGGATAAGAATATTTTTTAAAAGCTGTGACTCTCATTTATAATTTTAGTCTTTTTAAAAACTTTTATAGTAGTGCTCATTAGCTGCAGGCAATATCAAGTCATTAACAGCATTACATTATGGAAGTCCATGTGTAAGTAGTTTCAGACTTACACATTTTCCCAAAGGTACTGTTCAATTTAATTCAACACATGTTTACTGACCTGCATGATCCATCCTTTAATAATGACAACCTACTCTAAAAAATATTTGCAGGAGGAGGAGGAAAGAAAGAGAAGAAAAAGTCATCAAAAGGGAATGAATAAACTGTTTTAGAAGAATGTAGTGAATACATACACACTACTAGGGAACGATTTCTAAAAACAAAGCCAAAAGCTGACCACAATCTAGGCCACAAAGCAAGTTTTGTGTGAGTATCAAAGAATATATGGACCGTTTTTTCTGAAACATTAGCAATAAATGACAAATAACTAAAAACACCCCCCCATTTATTTAAAATTAGTAATGCGGACACATTTATATTCCTCAATAGCTCACACATTAAAGAAGAAATATTATGAAGAGTAAAAGATTTTAAGAAATAAAGAATAGTAGCAATACTACAATAAAATCTTTTAGGAAACTGCTAAAGCAGTTATTTGTAACTTAAACGTATTGATCAATTCAGAAGAAATGAAAAATTAATGAGCCAGTTGTTCTGCTTAAGAATTTTTTGAAAACTAAATTCCAAGATACTAAACAAGGAAAAAATAAAGGGTAGAAATCAATGTAATAGAAAACAAAAAATAGAACCCTTGATAAAGTCAAAATATGTTCTTTGAAGAAACAATTATGATAGAAAAAACCTTGTAGCTGGTTCTCTTACACAGGATTTTCTTGGAACACTCACTAAACTAAGCAGACATTTTCACCTCTCCTCTGTCATTTTTCTTAATTTGTTCCACTATTAAGTGGATAAGAATGCTACTTATTGGGTCCTCCCAAAGGCTCCAACAAGACATCAAATTTCTTCCCAAATCCATTTATACAATGAATGAAACCACTAAAGATCAATGCAATTCTCAGGTAACTTGAGAAGTTGCTTCCTAAAAGTCATAGGAATGTGTAAAGGGACAAGAATAGTCAAGATGGCGAAGAAAAACAAAGATAATAAGGATGAGAAGGAGAAACAGAAGAATAAATAGAAGTCCTTACATTAACTGTCATTAGGACAATATAAAACATTTGTTAATGCAGTGTAACTGATACCGTGAGAGACAAGCAGGCTAAAGAGTAAAACTACAGAACTCTAAAGGAGAACTTCTTATGTATGACAATGGTTTGCACTGTAAAAAACTGGAAGACACTGGGCAATAAACTCTGCTGGGTTATCTGGTTCAGCATACAGAAATAAATAAAATCAATTCTTGTTTCCAACCATATAAAATAAATTATATGCAACTATCAGAAAATTAACTAATAAATTAAAAAGGTAACATACTTACTGGATTGCCATAAACCGTAAGCTCTCTGAGAGAAGAGATAACATCAAGTTTTTCCAGTTCTGCCATATCCTGTTCAAAAGTCAATGAATTATTATTTGGTTACATCCCAAATCCTCAAATATAGACTAATTTCAAGTAATTTTATGTAAGTGCTGGATTGCGGGTAGCTCACGATTAAATCCGCTGAAGTGAGCCTGGATGACAGTTTTTCTGCATAAGAGCAGATCTGTGTTCTGTGGCTTCCAAATACAGAGCCGATGAAGAAGAAACTCTAACAGGAAAATGTACCATACAGCAGCACTTATAAGAAAAATGCCACATTTTTTTTTTCTCAGAAGGTTTGTGATTTATTCTAGAATTCAAATTATGTTCTGTTAATTCCTCCAAAGTATTGACCAAGAAGTATGGAAAAGGTGACTGGAGTCTAAAAAATATCAAAGGTACATATTTAAATGAAATCTTAATAATAAGAGAATACTTAATACTGGGTGAACTACAACATCCTTCTATACTCCCTGGGGATTTATGGAACTGAAAAACTGCATCTCTAGTTAAGTAATTTGTCTTCCCTACTGTGTATGATTATTCATTATTTTCCATCTAACATTGGCAAAAGCTTGTAAATACATTTTACGTTTTGCAGAAATATTTATTTTTTCCCCATTCCCCTGCCATCCCATCAACACCTCCGCCCCTCCCTATTTACAAAGATGCAAAAGTATTTTTTAAATACTGATTCTAGTAAAATAATACGCTCAGATTAAGGTTATACTTGCTCATAGGAGCACAATAAAGTTATTTGTATCTGGAATTACACAGTGGACAAAGGCCCGATTCATCTAGTACCTATAAAAATATTTAGATCTGATTTAATTCATTTTAAAGTGGACTTTAATTTTTTTAAATGACTGATCATTATGATTTAATATCATAAAACAGGTCTTTGAAACACTCTAGCATCCAATTATCCATAAAGATATTGTATATTTTAGTCCACAGGCAGTTCTTACGTATGGAATAAGCATGATCAGAAATCATGCACATTGAGAAAGGATGGCATTATTTTCTCAAATATTCTCAGCTGTGTCCACTAGGAAAATACTTCTAGTAAAAATATTATTTTCTCATGGAAAATATTAATATAAGAAATAGTCTAGTAAGTCTGAAGAGGATAACGTGGTATAAAGTTTTAAAGAGACATCAAATGATCCATATGTCCATAACTGCATATGAGAGCATCCCATTTTTTCCCATTAAGTTTATTGGTGCCTTTAAGGTAAACAAGGTACATTCACCATTGGGATCTTGTACCTTTACATGATGTATCTTGGTTCTTATTTTTTTCCCATTCCCCACTCTTAATATCAAATATTTTTTACAGCAGTGTATTGGGGTTACCTTTTACTGGTTCACAAAAGTCAGAGGGTAAATTTTTAAGAATTTTATCATGTAGTGTTTCATTATGAAATTGGTTATGGTACAAGAAATTGTACCACAGAAATTGGCAAATCCTACTGACTTGGGCTTTTTCCCTTGGGGAAGTAGTTGTTACATATTAATTACCAGGAAAAAAAATGGTCATTATATTTTGAGTATACTGTCAGCACAAGTATTTAAATTAGTCATAGTAATAGGACATTTAGGACAAAATTCATTTAGGACAAAAAACACTATTTCCTGGTGTCATATCTAGCTGCAGATCATTATCCAAATGTTTAAAAGTAGACAGGATGATCTGGATGTGAGGTAGGTAAATCATCTAGACACAGGGATCAAATGGAAATGCAGAGCTGAACTCACTTTCAACTGTGTTTCTATGGTCTTTAGAAGCAAGGCTGTAGGCAACAATTTTCCAAATCTACATTATTGGATGTGATGGCTAAATCGAAAGCTTCACATTAGAATATGCAGATCACTGAGGGATTACCTACAGCCTCTTCAGAAGTATTACTGTTCGGCTAATTTGTATGAGTTTCCCCTCATTCTATCAATATTTACAAACCCAAAGGTTGTCATTTGATTGTCTAACTGCAGAAACTAATGTTGATATCAGCCTGCCCACCTTGATATAAATCTAAGAAAACAAATTTCTCCCCAAAAGAGTATCTGAACTGAGATGAGAGTTATGATTTTGAAGAACATAATTTCACCAGAATTCAGGAGAATCTTCAAATTACTCTTCTTATTACTCTGAGTTCATTTTCCCCTCAGCTAAATGTACAGACACATTAAGGTACTATAAAATCAAGGGTTGGAATAAATGCAATGGTATAATGATCAATTGAATTAAATTCAAAATACCATTCCAAGGATAAAAAGAAGTGGCAAAATACTGTAAACAATCAATAAAATTTACTCTATCAATCAATCATATAATCTCCTCTGATTTATCATACAGGTTCTCATTAAGCTACATTATATTTTGCTCATTAGCTTGACTAAGCATTATTCTGCTAAGTTGCTATAGAGAAGTTGCTGATCTGTAATCCATTCAGTGTCTGATGGGTAGTGCGGCAGGGAGGTGGAGCAGTGATATTCCTGGGGAGGTGTCCTTACCTGTTCTAACCTTGCAAGTGTGCTGGTAATAGGATATTCCATCAAACAGAGTTATTCCCTAGCAAAAGTTCCTTATTAATGGTACCTTTTCTTTAGCAGATCTCCATGGTTAAAGACTGCTTAATGTAAATAAATCTGGGATCTACAGAATTATAAGGCATGGCTCCCTATAAAATGTTACATACGCTCAAGTATAAAATGGAGACGTTTCACAAATGGAAATGTTTCATAAACACTGCTCTCCTATCTGCTTTCACCCAACAAAATCTTAGTACTTGGGGACCTCATCTTTCATTCAAGCCCAACAATGTGTATGATGTGGGAAGGAAGGAACTGAAAAGCCTCTGAAGTGCTAGGCCCAGAATGCTCTTGAAATTATTAGTAAAGCTTGACACCAGATGAGCTCTCCAATGTTTGGTGCTGGGGATCGAACCCATGGTCTTGTGCATGATAAAGCATGTATTCTACCTCTGAGCTACATCCTCAGTTATAAGTCTGATTTGACAAATTTTGTGTTATCCCAGATGCTCTCATGGAAATACGTCCCATGGAACAGCAATTTTTTCTAGTTTAGGTTTCTTCTGAATAATGATTTGGAAGGATCATCTCCAGTTTGGGCAGTATTTTCACAGGTGAACGTTTGAATCTGGACAAATTAGTTTGTGTGTTATTTTTGTTTGTACATTCCCTAACTGCTGTGTAGAAAGAGCCACTGCTCATCATTTCCTTTGAACCTTGGAAAGGGCTCTTACATAACCCCGACAAAAGGCTTCCTGAACTGCGGTGAATAGAGCCACAAAATTAGTTATTGAGTATCTACGTACTATGTTCACATGCCATGCTACGTACTGATAGAAGTGTGGACAGGATAGTCCCCACTCAGAGGGAGCAGCCCACTGTTCAGACGGTCTTTGAGTCATTCCTAGAAGGTCAGCTGGAGTAGTGAAGTTGGAAAAAGGAAACTAAGACAATACCAAAGTGCTGTGAAAACTATGACAGCTGTATAAGGTTATATGTCTCATTTCTCTCGTCTGTATACTGTAGCATCTCAGGAGAGTTCAGGCTTAGTAGGAGCAATGACCCAAAGTTAACAGGTTTCATTCTAAGTAGATAAAACTAAGGTAAGGTGCTATCTAAGGCAAATTTGAGTGGGAGTAGTTGTAATAGCAAGGCCAAGTCAATATCCATGATTAGGGGTTGATTCAAATGCCAGGTAGACCAAGTACACGTGCCAGGCTTAAAGGGCCAGAGGAAATCTGGAATTGAGATTCAGAAACAACTTGGACCACTGCCAGTAAAGTAACAAGCGAGACGTCTCAGAGAACACTGATGAGATGAGTCTGGGGGTATTTAGACCTAATATTCATTAGTGGGTAGGTGCATGTGTGTTTTCCTGGGCTATCAGACATTTGCAAATCAAGAAATTAAGTCTTGAAAAATACACTGCATATAAATGATAAAGAGCAACATTTTCATTTCATGTGTCTGGAAGCTTTTCTATCACATCTCAGAGGAATTAAAATTTGTAAATCTCATAACAACCAAAATAATGTCACCTGGATTTTATTATATCCTAGGAAGAGTTTCTCTAGTTTGACCAAAGACTGCAATTTGCTCAGTTCTCGTAATCTGTTTTCCTCCAGGTGCAGTGCCAATAGAGAACTTGGTTTGGCAAAAGCACTGTCAGTAAATGCTCTGATGCGGTTATGGTCTACTACCAATTCCTGAAGGACCACCAGGTTGTCCAGCCCTTCAACTTGACTGATTTCATTCCCTTAAAAAAAGAAAATCAAAGTTATTTATTTTCACAAAAGTATTTTTATCAAATTATTTTTTAAAAACTAAAAACGTCTCCATTTCTAAGTCTTAAAATTGTTACAAAAGAAACTGATCTTTCCCTAACTCCTGACCTAAAATAACTTTATGGAGCATTAGTATCTCTGCTTGCCAGTCTCCTAGTGCAATTGTGAAAAATTCTTGAGACTATTTTTCTCTCCCCCTTATACACCTAATTAGTCACTTGGTCCTAATATGTCTTCCTTTAAAAACTGCCTTTGAGCCTTGTCACTTTCACTGACTGTCTTGTAGTCCAGGCCCTCATGACATCACTTGAAAAAGGCAAAGGATTTATGCAATCTGAAGAGAAACCAGAGCATGAGGTCACTTGTGCTTTGAAAACACACACTAGCACAGGTTTGAGCCAATTACTTCCTATTACTGAACCTCAATACTTTTTGTAAAATGTACACAACAATACTTACCTTTTAGGGTGGGTTGCTGTAAGATTAAATGAGATAAACATCTTGTATAATAACTGCATAAATAGCAGTTGTCATAGACAGGGTAAATTGCCTTAACTCCTACATAAGGTTGCCCCACTCTTATTTGCCATGCTTGCCATGGCAACTGCACACGCTGCTCCTTTACATTATTAGGTTCCTAGAGACCTTCCTAGGTTAGGTTATGCTCTTTTAGGTACGTCAATGTATCTTCAAAGAATCTGTCATTCTTGTACTCAAAGTGTGTGTGTGTGTGTGTGTGTGTGTGTGTATGTATGTGTGTGTGTGTGTGTGTGTGTGTGTGTGTGTAAGGCTATCACCGTGGTCTCGACCCAAATCACAATTACATTTGATAGGCAAAAGTATATGTAAAAAATTTTAAAATAAGGTCTAGGAAAGCCTGTCTTTCTGCAAGGGTGTTACTATACTTAGATCAATGACCCAAACTCTTCCCATGTCTTACTGACGGGTCTCCCGACCTTTCTCCTATGTCATCACACTATTATTATTCCATTAATGTTCCTCTAATTTAAATCCTATCAGTCTTCCAAGGAGCCCTAGGTATTCAGGAGAATCTTTTCTCTTTCTCCAAACTTCCATTCACAGTCAGAATTTAATTCATCTTTTTCTCAGTACATTGGTACAGGTAGATCTCAAACTACTACTTTAGGTCAAGGATTTTAATTACATAGAAATATAAAATATATTACTGCCACATATTTCATAGTACTTAGCACAATTCTGGGTTAATAAATGCTTGCAAATTACAAACCAATTATTTTTATTGATTTTTCAATAAATTGAATGTGATATAAAAATAAATCATGATGTCATGATGTATGTAGCCCCAGAATATTATATTTTCCTTCAAAAATGTTTTTTGAAAATATACAGATAATCAAAGAAATATATTTGTAATTATTAAAATATCTTTGTCAATGTATGAGTAAATGGTGATACTTTTGTTTATCAAAACAAGATGATAATCAGGTCAGTTTTTAATGAAAAGGACCTCTTCATTAACAGAGCTTCTACTTACCCTGTAGAAAAAGGGATTTTAAATTTCTTAGTCTATTAAGTTGTAGATGGATTAAATTACAAATTCCATTGTAGCCCAAATGAAGAACTTCTAAACTGTGCATTATTGGAGGCAAATTTTCACTGCTCATTGTATCTCTGAAACACACAGGTGGATGTGAGGCCATTAGCTTAATTTCAAGTCAGCTATATTTTAAAAAGACAATCAGACACATAATTGCTATAAATTAAACATAAAGAAAAAAATAATTCATTAATACATAAAAACTGAGCTATAAAATAATGTCTAATATTTTGTATCATAGTTTTTAATTTTAAACATATTTTATATGGTAAGGAATAAAGAAAATCACAATGAAAAGCAATACCTAATACAATCAGCCAAGAAAAAAATATATAATGCATCTAATTGGAAAGGAATAAGTATAACTGTTTTTATTCTCAGATGACGATTATGTTTCAGAAACTGTAAGAAAGCCATCTAAAATTATTTGAACCAATAAATGAGTTCAGCAAAGTTATAACAGTGTTAATATATAAAAATCAATTGAATACACAGAAAACTATAGAACACCACTGACATAAATAAAAGAAGATGAAAATAAGTGAAGAAATACTTCATGCTCATGGATTAGAAGGCAAAATTATTAAAATGACAATTCTTTCAAGTTGATCAACAGATCTGATACAATGTCCATCAAAGTACCATCAGGCTTTTTTTTCCACCAAAAAATTATCATTTTACCCTAAAATTTATGAGGAAATGCATACAACTCAGAATATCCAAAACAATATTGAAAAAAGAAAATAGTTAAAAATTTATTATAGAAGTAAAATCATCAAACTAATGCTGCAAAAAGAAACACATAGATGAATAGAATAGAATTCAGTCCAGAATACACCCTAACATTTATGGTCAACTAATTTTCAGTAATGGGGCCAAGCCAATTCAACAGGGAAAAGGGTAATATTCTAAGCAAATGATGCTAGACATAGAAAAAGATGGATTTAGACCTCATGATATAAATAAAAATTAACTCAAACAGGATCATAGGTGTAAATGTAAGAGTTTCTTAAAAAAAGAAAATCTGTGTGACCTTAGCTTAGGCAAAGAATTATTGGATAAACCTCCAAGACTGTACTCTGTAAGAAAAAAACTGATAAACTGTATTGCATCAAAATTTAGTTTTTACTTTTATTTGTTATTTTTAATCAACATTTTAAAAAACCGTCTAAGAAAATAAGACAAACCATAAACTGAGTAAAATATTTGTAAGTAATTTATATGGCTAAGGGCTTATATCCTCAACATTTAAAGAACTCAAAAACAAAAGGCCGAGACACCTAATTAAGAAAAACAAACATGTTTGAGTACATATTTTACCAAAGAAGATATAAGGCTAAGTATCTACCTAATTAAGAAAAACAAACATGTTTGAGTACATATTTTACCAAAGAAGATATAAGGCTAAGTAAACATTTGAAAATACGTTCAATAATATTAATTATTAAAGCAATGCAACTTAAAACCACATTGAGACACTACTTTAAAACTATGAGAATGGCTATAATGAGACAGGCAATAGTTATTATTGACAAGAATATGGAGAAAGTTAAAATCCTCACACACTGTTGGTGGTAAAACTTCTTAGGAAAACATTTTGACAGTTTTTCAGTCAAACATTTAATGACTGTATGACCAAACGCTTTGCCTCCTGGGTATTTACCCAAAATAAATATAATGAAAATATAAGTGTACATAAATACTTATACACAACTCTTAATGGCCTTATTATTCATACAAGCAAAACAATTGGGGGCAGCGCAGATGCCTGTCAGTAAGTGGAGAAACACAATGTGGCACATCCATACAACAGAGCACCCAGCGTGTTCAGCAATGAAAAAGAATGGACTCCTAAACAACGTCACAAAGGTTTAAAGGGGAAGGGGCAGTAGAGGGCGAGGGAAAGGAAAGAAGGGAAAGAAAAAGATATGAGAAAAGATGGAAAAAATGGAAACAAAGCTTCTCTAAACAGGGAGGGGAGGAGGGTGGAAGGGAGGGCAGGGGAAAGGGAAAAGCTAAGTTACGTCACGCACAGGTACAAATCCCCAGTGACGAATGTGACCATAATGTACACCTCAGAAGTGCCAATAAAGTCAATTTTTAAAATCTTTTTGATAGGAAAGAATGGCACAATATGGACAGTTGCAAAACTACGATGCCATGCATAAAAATCCAGCTGCAAAAGACTATAAATGATACAGTTCTATTTATAGGAAATGTCTAGTAAAAATAACTTTTTCTCATTGAGTTTACTGGTACTTTTTAGGTATACAGTACACTTACACTCATCATTGGGATCTTGTACCCTTACATGACAGGTCTTGGTTCTCATTTTCCCCCCATACTCCTGTAGAAAAAAAAAAAACTTTATAGAAAGTAGATTAGAAGTTATCTAAGGCTGGAAGTGGGAAAATGATTGACTACAAATAGACATGGAGGAACTTTCTGGTGTGATGGAAATGCTCTAATATTGGATTGCAGCAATGACCACACATGTCTTTAAATTTTGTAAAAGTATTGAATTATACACACTTAAAATGAGTTAACAGGACATGTAAATTGCATTTCAATAAAGGTGTTAGAAAAATCAAACACAAATAGGCCCAATATGAAGGAAGTATATAAAAGGTTCATAGTAGCTTGAATCATACCAGAAATAATTAATAAGTGTTCATCAGTGAAAAATGAATAAACAGTTGGACATAGAACTTATACCATGGGAACACTACTTAGAAAATATTCCGATGAGTGAAGTGTGGTAGGTATACACAATGAAGCGCTACTCTGCCATCAAGAAGAACGAACTCAAGTCATTTGTAGGAAAATGGGTGCACCTGGAGACCGTGCTAACGTGACATAAATCAGACTCACGAGCTTAAACATCACAGGGTTTCTTTTATGAGAAACCCAAACTATAAATAGAGAGCAAAATAAAAGATAGATGACAGGAAATTAGGAAGATAGATCTTTTATACAAGTGAGTGGGACCAAGAGATGGAGAGTAGATGAGAGGAGAGGAAAGAGATAAAAAAGTATTGAGATGTGTTACGTGCAGGTACCAGCTCCCAATGAGGAACTGAATCACTAGGTGCTGCAAACGTGCTAATCATAACAAAAACTGAGACAGAAAAAAGTAAAGAAATAAGTACTGAGTCTTACAATAATGTGGATTCATTTCAAAAGCATTTTGTAAGGGAAAGAAACCAGACCTAGAAGAATACTTATTATGTAAATCCAATCTTATGAAATTCTTAACCAAGGCAAAGTCGCACTGACAGAAAACATCATTGGCTGTTTGCCAGAGACCAGGTTAGAAGGCAAGGGCATTTCAAAGATATACGAAGGCATTCTTGGAGATGAGAACATTTCGTATCTTGGTTATCACAGTGGTAGTGACTGAATGTAGCTGTCAAAATGTTTAAACTGTACCCTTAAATTGTGAATTCTATTAGAGTATATGTAAGTAGTATCTCAGTACAGGTGATAAGCACAAGAGATACGCATTAATAGGAAATCCGGAAATGAAAGTATTCTGACATGCCCTCAAAATTTGATAGTTATATACATATATACAAAACAAATTTCATGATATAACTACCACTGATGCATACATAGGAATATACAATATATCTGTATAATAAATATGAAAGAATAGGAAGGTGGGAATTGTGTCCACATCTCAGTACAGTATATTTACCACTGAGCTGGGACATTAGGTTTCCAGATAATAATTCAGAAATAAAAAGAAGACAAATGTTAAAAGAAATACAAATTTATTCTACTTGACTAATGAGGTTCTTTGTGGCATGATGAAAATGTTCTGGAATTAGGGGTAATGCTATGTAACTTGTGAAGAAACTAAAAATCACGGCATTATATACAAAAGATGAGCTGTATCGTATGTGATTGTATCTCAACTAAGAGAAAGAAACTCTAGGTCCAAAGTCTTTGTAAACAGGGAAGGGTGAAGGGCGTGAAGGGAGGGCAGGGGTATGGGGAAAAAACAAGAACCAAGATCTGTCATGTAAAGGTACAACATCCCAATGATAACTGTAACTGTATTGTTTGCTTTAAATGTACCAATAAAAATGAAAAAAAAGAGAAACCCTAGATCGTTAAACATACAAGACTTTTTGTTTTCCCTTAATTTGCAAATACAAAGTAGAGGAAGCAGAGGAAAACAATGACAAAAGGAATAATTGTAGTATGTTTTTATGTGTGAAGTTTGTTTTTGGAATGTAGCTACTGAATAAAATACTAATATAAGCTAAATATAGGCAGCACTAGAATGTGTTGCTTCTTTTTAAATTTCCAAGCAAAACATTTTGTGATAATAAAAAGAATAACAGAACAGTACCTGTTCAGTTTTGACGGGCCCTGCTGCCCATAGCCGCTTGAAGGCACTTTCTGGTAGAGCATCTGCTTGTTTGTCAAGTGGGCCTGAGGCTTCAGTCTAGGCACGATTGACTCAATGTGATTATAATTGAGGCACAAGACCTACACAAAGAATATCACATGACTCAGTCCCCATGAACCAGTAAAATGGTATGGATAAGACCTGGGATATACAACATCATTTATAACATTCAGGTTGAAAATGAAAGTACAATGCTGCAAATGAAATAATTAAGACCCTAGAAAGGTACTCAACTTTATGTATCAATCTGCACTCCTAAATTCTCCAAGCCCCATATGGAGGAAATAGCTCCTCAGACAGAAAGCTGTTTCCCTATATTTAAAAGGTCTTGGGGCCAGGGATTTAGTTGCCTGCCTCACAAATGCAAGGTCCTGAGTTCGAGCCTCAGTATCAAAAAATAAATAAATAAATTAATTAATTAATTAAAAAATAAAAGGTCTCGGTAGATGGGTGAATTGAGGTGATAGGAAAGAAATCAATGAAGCTGCTTTAAGAATCAGAGTGTTCTCGGAGACCAGCCTGGGCTACATAGTGAGCTCCAGGTCAGTCTCAACTACATAAGGAGACCCTGTCTCAACTGCCTCCTGCCAAAAAGGAAAACAAAAGAGCCCCCCCAACTATGTTCCCTCCTTAGGACTTTTACCACCCAGCTCCACCCGCCTTGGGGACGTACGAGGAGTTGTGTGTGTAGATGAGGGACAGGTGCTGCGCCATCCTTCGTGAGAAGTCAGTCAGAAAAACAACCCAGTAAGAGATGTAGAAGCAGGACAAGGCTTTAGCTCAGTGGCGCCGCGCCTGCCTTTCAAGCACAGGGTCCTGAGTTTGGTTCCTGGTTCAGGAAAAAAAAAAAAAAAAAAGGTAGAGTTTGGGGTTGGGCTGAAGTCCTGAGCCTTGGATAGGCACTGGAAGGAAAGGCTACACAACAGATACGAGTTTTAAGGCTACACAGTGGATACTAGTTTTGGTGAGATGGAAGACTGCAAAGGCGATGTCCCAGATTTCAGGCCCAGGTCCATCACTTGCACGGCCTCAGTTTCTCTGTAAACAGAGTATAAGAATCTTTATCCTGAAACAGTGTGTGTTGGTACCCACCTATAATTCTGGCATTTGGGAGCCTCCGGCAGGAGGATTGAAAGTCTGAATCCTTCTTGGGTAATTAAGCAAAATAAAATAAAATAAAAAGGTTGAGATGTAGCTCACTATGAAGGCCCCAATCCAATTCCTAGTACCATAAAAATACATAAATAAATCCTTATCCTACCAATTTCCCAGTGCTCTGGGTTACTGCTGACTACAGAGCTAGACAAAGCCAGACATGGTGGTGTATGACTGTAATCTCAGTACTTTCAGAGGCCAAGAAAGGAGGATCACATGTTTGGGCCCAATCTGGGAAACTTGGCCACTCAACAAAACCGTATCTCAGAATAAATTAAAAAAAAAAAGAATCAGAGCATTGCTCATCTTCATCTCACACCTTCCTCTGCACAGGCAGAGTTCTAGTACATCTCTTCACGTCAGTAAGACGATCAATCACATTTAAAGCTAAAATCAAATCAACATAACTTTGGAAGGAAACACTTGCATATGCTTAGTAAACAACAAAGATTTGTCGGTGACTCACTTTCACATTCGGCAGATAGATCAGTCCACTGAAAGAGGTAAGATTATTGTTCTGTAGATTCACACTACACACATTTCTAAATTGGTCAACTGGAATCAAATCCACCGTTCTAAATTTAGAGAAGGTAAATACAGTGATTTGAATAGGGTCGGAAACTACAGAAAAAGGTAGATCCCCATATACAACTGCCAAAGGCATTAAAAAAACTCATTTGACAAATGCTCTGAAAATAATTTCCTTAATGTAAAACATCAGGGTTGAGTGAACACCTAAATACACATTCTGTTGGGCACATATGTAAGAAAATGGCATAGCATTTGATTGCTCTCTCTTACCATATAAACTTAGCAATATTATAAAAGAAATATAAAATAAGCACTTCCAATTAATTTATAAATGCACATACATCTTCCTGAAATCATAGTGAATGTACAAGGTCTAACTATATTAGAAACTCTTTGGTGTTTTTTTTTATATGAGCTTTCCCTGAAAATACATCTGTTACCCATTACTACCTTCTAAGATATAAGTTTACCACATTACTTCCCTTCTCAACATTGTTCAGTGCCTTTCCACTGTCTACAGAATAAAAATTTTAATTCCTTTGTGTGATATAGAATAATTTTCATCTTTTGTAATTCTTTCCTTCACTTCCCATGCTGTTTTTTGGTTCAGAAATTTTGAAATGTCCTAGTGCCTGAATCTCAACCATAAGATTTGATATCATGTTTTTGCCTTTGTCCCTGTCGCACTCTGGAACGCTTTCCTGATTATTTGCCTGACAGATGCCCACAGATCTAACATACTCCAGTTCCGAGTGCAGTGGCTGTGGAAAGACAGAGGAAATCAGTCATAATCTGTACCCAAACAGAACGTGGCGATGAATTGAAGATCGACTTATTTACTTATTTGTTTGTTTGTTTGTTTGTAGCTTGTGTGACAACAAGCAGATGCTATCTCCTAGGCACTGTCTAGAGAGGGAAAGGAAATTGTGAGAGTAGAAAAGGAAAGACAGAACAAAAAAAATCTGATAATAAAAGTTGGAGAACATCAGGAAGAATTCATAAAGAGACCCAAGAAGTTTAAAGAAAAATGAAGAATGTGAAATCACTGCTTAAAGGGGGGCAGGTGGCTAAGAAGTACAGAGAAAGAAGCGTCACCGTCTTTATAAACTCCATAAAGTCAGGGGGATGGGGAATAAAACAATCCACTTGGAGGGCAGTGATGACATCTGCAAGAGGAGACGCAGAGCAACAACGCCAGCAGAAGCAAAGCACGCTGGATTAGAGAAGTAAGATGTGAGCAGTGCAGCCTCTTCCTTGTATTTCTCACAATTCATGACGGAAGGACATCTTTAAAAGAGGCATTTTATATTTTACTTGTAACCAGCCATGTCTTGCTTGTGCGTTTTCAGCTGTTTCTTTCCTTTGGGCACTGTGGCAGAGTGAAATGAAAACTGGTGCCCAGCTGGCAGGTCTCCTAACTTTCTGGGATCCCATTTCTCTTTAAACCCAGAGGTTCCATTGAACCATTGGTTTCCACAATGCACTCTGAGATCTGAAAATGGTTACTGGGGGCTTTGGGGTTGTTGGTGAGGATCTGGAAATCTATATTAGATAAGCCTGGAGCCTAAACATTCAAATCTAGGATACATGCTTGAGGATGATGCTGTAACAAATAAGGTGCAATTAAAAGTGTTATGGAATTGCTAGTAATTTCTATTTTGATGATTTTCTTAACTAAAATGTAACTAAATTTTTGTTTAAAAAAAAAAAAAGATATGAAGGGCAAGCCGAGAGTGTTTGGTTGTAAAAGAGGAACAGATAATATGAAAAAGAAAATTGTGACATTTTAAATCATAGTCCCTGATAATAAAAATTCTTCATACATTTCAAAGAATAGTAAAGTTAGCATAAGATTTGAAGTAGGGTAGATAAATTATTTGTTATGCTCAGATAAGATGTACAAATATAGGTATACCATCAGCAAGATACTGACAAACAATGCATCAAGTCATCAAGAGATTATGCACCATGAACAAGTGGGATTCAACCCAGGGATGCAGGGATAGTTCAACATATGCAAATAAATAAATGGAATACACCGTATTAACAGAGCCAGGGAAAAAAAGAATATGATCCTCTTAAGAGATGTAGAAAAAGTGTTTGACTAGGTCCAACACCCATTCATGATTAAAAAAAAAACCCTACAGATAATTAGAATTGATGGTCTTTATCTCAATCTGATAAAAGCCAACTATGACAAAGCAACAGCCAACATCATACTAAATAGAGAAAAACTAAAAGCTTTCACCCTAAAATCAGTAACAAGACAAGGATATGCCCTGTCACCACAGTTGTCCAATGTAGTTCTGAAAACATTGGCCACAGACATTAGACAAGACAAAGAAACAAAAGGAATAAGGATAGGGAAGAAAGAAGTTAAATTATCATTATTTTCAGATGATATGATTCTCTACATAGAAGACCCCAAAAACTCCACCAAAAGGCTTTTACATTTGATAACCAAATTTAGTAGTGTAGCTGGATACAAAGTCAACACTCAAAAATCAGTAACATTCCTGAACATGAAAAAAGAAAACTCACTGAGAGAGAAATTAGGGAAACAACACCTTTCAGAATATCATCCAAAAAAAAAAAAATGACATACCTAGGAATCAATTTAACACAGAAAGTAAAAGACTGCTACACCGAAAACTACAGTACTCTGAAAGAGGAGACTGAAGAGTATATCAGAAAATGGAAAGATTCCCCTTGTTCTTGGGTGAGAACCACCAGTATAGTGAAAATGGCCATACCTCCAAAATTGTTATACAGATTTAATGCAATCTCTATCAAAATTCCAACAGCATATCTCACAGAATTGGAGAAAACAATTACAGAGTTCATTTGGCATGAGAAGAGATCTGTAATAGCAAAGGCAATTCTGGGCAACAAAGGCAAGGCAGGGAACATCACAATCTCTGATGTGAAATTATATTACAAAGCTATTGCGATAAAAACAGCATGGTGCTGGAAAAAAAAAACCCCAAACAAAAACAGACCCAAGGATCACTGGAACAGATTAGAAGGAGCAGAAACAAGTCCAGACATCATCAGCCACTTTATTTTTTACAAACGAGCCAAACTCCTTTATCTGGAAGAAAGCCTGCTTAATATATAATGCTGGAAAGCCTGGGTTTCTAGTTGCTGAAGATAAAACTGGACCCATATTTTTCACCATGCACTAAATTAAAATCAAAATGGATCAAAGATATAAATATTAAAATAAAAACACTAAATCTGCTGGAACATAGGGTAGGTAGAACTCTTGAAGACACTGGTGTAGGCAAAGACTTTATGAACAAAACCCCAATTGCACAGTAACTAACACAAAGAAACAACAACTGGGACCTCGTCTTATTGAAAAGCTTGTGTACAGCAAGTGAAATCACCAACAGAGTGAAGAGACAACCCATGGTGTGGGAAAAATTTTTTTCCAGCTGTTCCTCAGACAAAAGACTAATATCTAGAAGATATAAATAACAAAAATATCAGACCCCCCAAATTTAAAGACCCAATCCAAAAATAGGCATGTGAAACGAATAGACACTTTTCAGATGAAGAGATAGGAACTGGAAGTAAATATATAAAAAGATATTCAACATCACTGGTCATTCAAGAGATGGAAATTAAAAACGACACTGAGATTTGACCTCACCCCCAGAAAGAATGGCTGTTATCAAGAAATCAACCAATAACGTATGCTAGTGGGCTGTGGGGAAAAAGGGACCCTTCTCCACTGTTGGTGAGAGTGTAGACTGCTGTAGTAACTGTGGAAATCAGTGTGGACATTCTTTGAAAAACTAAAACTAGAGGTTCCATCTGACCCAGCTATTCCCCTTCTTAGTATCTCTCCTAAAGCATCACACTTCAGTGATGTATGCACACCCATGTTTATAGCGGCGCAGTTTGTGATAGCTAAATCTTGGAAACAGCCCAACTGCCCATCAACTGACAAATGGATAAAGAAGATGTGGGCTTTTTCTAACACAGTGCCATAAGGAAGAATAAAGTTGAGACATTTCCAACTAAATGGATGCACCTTGAGACCATGCTCTTAAGTGATACAAATCAGACACGCAAGTTTAAATACTGCATTGGTTCTCTGGTGTGAGAAAATGAAAATGAAAATAAGGACCAAAATGTATAATAGATATTGGGAAAAGGGAAGACAATGTCCAAATAGAAGGGGAACAAGGGAGGGGGAAGTGGGAAAGGAAAGACAAGAAAAACAGAATGACAGAAAAGATGGAAACAAAGCTTCTCTAAATAAGGAGGGGAAGAGGGGTTGAAGTAGGGGGAATGGGAAAAAAAGAAGGAAGATATATTGTGTACATGTACAAATTTCCCTTGATGAATGTTATCTTTATGTGTATCTAAAATGTACCAATAAATGTTCTGCTTCAAAAATAAATAGATATCAGCAAATGCTAATAATTACATATTTAATTATAACATAAAAAGGATATAAAATGATATACCTGAGGGATGATGAAGTCCAGTTAAGTTCTTGCATTTGGGCAAAGTTGGAATGTCCTTGTCTTTCTGCAACCATGTCAGAGGTAAGTCTGCCACCAAACAAATCTTTTGCAGTCTCAGTCTCTGGTGTTTTCTATATAAATTATATGTAGAAAATTATATTTTCTGTTATAGATGATTAATTCTCTGAGTTTTGGTACAACTGAGTGGACTCATTTCTTCCTATTCCTCTGTTATGGCTTAGATCAAACATGTCCCTCAAAAGTCTCGCACTTGTGGATGGTGACAGGATCATGAGGCCTCTATACTCGTGTGTGGGTTTATGCATTCGATACGATCAGTACCAGACTGTGCTGTTAGGAGTTGGCGCCTGGTTGGAGGTGGTCACTGGAGGCTGACTCGGAATGATGTACTCTTACTCCCAGCCCCTCCTCTCTCTCCCTTCCTCTGCTTCCCAGCTGCCGGGCTTTGAGCTCTACTGCCTCCTCCATGCCCCTCTGCCATGCTGTTTCTGCCTTTAAGCCAAAAACTATGAACTAAAATCACTGTGGTGTCAAATGTTTGGTTCCAGCATGTGTAATGTAATTCTGTCATCTCCTAAGGAAGTATAGTGAAAATCCCTGTACACGACATATAAACCAAACATAAGAGAACCAAAAGATGCAGAGGAAGCAGACCTGCTAGGGACCTTGGGACCTAAGAAATGATACCGTGGATTTTCTTTTTTGTCTCATATTGTTATACGAGGTGATGGAAGTGATAGGCAGAAACCCAGAAGTGTCAACAAGACAAAATAAAACAAAGCACAGAAAAAGACTTTGAAATGGGACATCTCACAGGATAGGAGGTTTCCAGACAATAATAAGTCTACTCCAGCTAAACACCACAGAATAAATAAATGGTGGTCTCACTTCCACACCCAACAGTAAAAGGAAAATGGGCTGCTTAGACTCGCCCAGCTATGTATAACGAGGTTCTTCTCTATCCTCTCCTTGATGAGTGTGAGCTTGGACTTTCCTTTCCTCCCAGTAACAGTGCACCCCATGAACAAAAACAAAAATGAACAACAATGTGTTACTGGAGACTGGATTGTCATTTATACCCAGGAATAATGTGGTGTCTGTGGAGCACTAGTGAGGCACTCTGCCACCTCCCAAGATGGGTGAATGGAGAATAGTCACAAAGAGTCTCTTCCCTTCCAACCAGATGCATGGATGGAGGCCTGGTGGGAAGCATGAACTCCCACCCTAGTCTGGCAGTCTATAAAGCACACCCCTCACATAGTCAAGACAGCCCTAATGGAAAATTTGGGTTTCCACCCCTGCACCTGACAGCAACAAATCAGTGCCCTTGCTTCTCACTAGTGCAGTGTTGAGACAGCCTTGCTAAAACAGAAGATTGGAGTAAGATCTACAGTCTATGAAAATAGCTAAAATGTCCAGACTAAAACAGAAAAATCTCTTCATTGTGACAACAACCAAGATAATCTCACCTTGAGTGTAAGATGATAATCCACAAACAGTAGCTCTGAAGCAACACAGATATCTGTAGTTAACCAACAAGGATTTCAAAACAGTCATCACAAAAATGCTTCAGCAAGGAATTACTGAGCACACTTGAAACAGATGAAAAAAACAACTATTGGTAAAGAAATAGAGGATATGAAGAATGAATTAAAGAATACTAGAATTGAGCAATACTAGAACCAAGTAAATGCAATGGATGGGCTCAATAAATGATTACTTCTTGGATTTCTGGCTATGATCAAGTACAAATTGTGAGAAAAGGGAAAGAATCAGTGAATTTGAAGACAGAACAATAAATAAAAATTGCCCAATGTAAACAAAAATGAGAAAATGAGCTTCATATGCTGGATTTGTGGGATGAAAATTAACATTTAATATTCGTATCACTGGATTCACAGAAGGAGAAGAGAAATAGGGTAGAAGTGAAAAGGTATTGAAAGGAATAATAGCTGAGGTCTCTCTACAGTTGGCAAAGGACATAAACTTACAGATTGAAGAAACACAAAATTCCCCAAGTCAATGCAAGGACACATAATCATAATCATAACCAAATTTCTGAAAACTAATGACAGAAAATGTCACAAGGGTAGTGAGAGGGAAACGAGATCTTACAGTAAACAACTGACAGCAGATTTCTCCAGGATCATGGAACCAGAGGATGTGGCACATTTTTTCAAGTGGTAAAATAAAAGAACTGTCAACCCAGAACCGTATATCCAGAGAAAATATCATTCAGAAATGAAAAAGAGTCAAAACATTTTCAGATGAAAGAAAACTATGCAAAATTTCACCAGTAGCTGTCTTAAATGGCTAAAGGAAATTCTTGAAACAAATAAAAAAGAAGTTTAGAATACTAGGAAAGAAGAAGGCACAACAGGCTTTCCTTCTTTTAAGTATTTCCTAAATTATCTTGGGTAGGTTAAAATGCAAAAGAATACCATCATCTGGTGAAGTTCTCAAATGTACTAGAAACAGTGGGCAAGCAATAACTTGAAGAAGTCAAATTCCTACTCTTCTACCAAACTGACAGAAAACATCAACATCATTATACTTTAATATGTATACAGGTAATATTGACAGCAATTACTAAGATATAAATATATAGAGAGACAGTCATTAAAAATGCTATAGATAAAAATAGATTTCTAAAAGTTCAACTACTCATAGGAAAGCAACAATAACAAAGCAGAAAAAAGACAGGAAACAAATACGAAACAAAAATCAAAATGGCAGACTTAACCACTAACATGTCAATAACTACATTAAATATAAGTGGTCTACATTTACCAAGGATTAACAGTAGATTAAATAATTATGATCCAACTGTATATGGACAAGAAACTTAAAATATAATATATATGCATGTTAAAAGTAAAAATATGGCACATAACATATCAGACTAACATTTATGAAAAGAAAGTAGAAGTGGATTAAGAACTTCCGATAAAGCAGACTTCAACAAAGAGATGAAGGGAGGGGAAAAGGCAGAGGAATAGGATGAAGAAAGGAACTGAGATGGGTTATGTACATCTAGCAACACCTCACAACGAATGTAATCACCACGTACTGCAAAACATGTACTAAATTTTTGTTTCTTAATTGTAAAAGCAGACCTCAAGCAAAAGAAAATTACCAGAGACAGTCTACTAAGAAGACAAAATAATCCTAGGTGCATATGTACCAAACACAAAGCTCAAAATATGTCATCTTATAGTTCCTAGGCTATTAAATTAATCTAAATGTTGCTGCACAGGCATCCTGAAGATATAAAGCTCCTAATTAGTTAACTTTCAAGGAGGGAGCCATTTTAGATGACCTTGATGGGCGTGGTGCAAGCCATTGCCAAAGCTTTCATGCAAAACTGAAGCTTCTTAAAGGAGAAAAAATTCATCTAAGGACAGCAGATTTGCACCATGGCTGTGAGCTCCAACCTGCCCATAATCTTCCTTTTTTTATGGCCTGCCTATGCATTTTGGAGTTGCTTAGGATGCAATTTTTAAGTATCTATTTGTATATATGTATGTATATATGTTATATATAATATATAAATTTTATATTATGTATAAATGTATATAATATATTTTGCAAATATTAAAAAACACATATACATTTTTCCATCTTACTAGCTCTGCTTCTCTGGTTGAATCTCAAATAATACAATCCCAAAATAGCTTTAAAAAATACACTAATTCAGCTTTTCTGTTCTCATAACCATACAAACAATATTTGATTGCTATCCTTCTACATCAGGGACAGATAAATTTGTTCTATATTTTTCCTGTAAAGAATCAGTCAATATAATATGTTTTGCTCTGTTAAACTATTTAATTTTGCCATTATAGCATGAAAGCAGTTATAGTCTATATAAAAACAAGCTTAAATATGTAACGAAATTTTACTTATGAAAACAGGTAGCAGGTTTTATTTTAGGCAAATGACTGAATTTTCCCTTAATAAAACTGATCATAGCATTTAATTTATTTTTTAATTCAAATTCCCTTTTTAGTTACTCCATTAAAACATCTTATCTGAAATGAGGATATGTATTGTTCATGCAAAATAATCTTTTAAAAATAAATGTAGAATCGTAGATAAAATAAAAACACAACTACTCAAGCTACTGCTTGGTCTGTCATTCCTTGGTTTCCACTACTACTCTAAAGAAAATGTATGTGATTATATATCTAGAGAAATTCGGGCAGAGAATGAGGCTCATGATTTACCAGAAAGGAGTTGTATAACTTAGAAAAAGTTATGTAACTTCTCGGTAGTCCCTGTGTTCATCCACTGAATAAACGATTTAGTCCATCTCCATTCTGATGTCTATGTACATCTCAAAAATTATTACTATTATTACTATTATTATTATATTTTTTGGGCACTGGGGATCAAACTCGGAACCTTGTGCTTGAGAGACAGGCAGCAGAATTACTGAGCTAAATCACCAGCCCTCAAAATTACTGTAATGCTCCTTTACCGCCCCCTGATTCACTTTTCACGGCTTGTTTTCCTCTTTAAAGAAAGTCTAAAGCCTCACTTACATTATCTTTCTTTTTCTACTCACTTTATTTAAACAATCTTTATGCATGAGTTTGGTTTAATTCTCAAATCTCTTATTATTCCTTTTAAATCTAAACAAACGTAAATTTCCATACCCAGTTAAGTCCAGTGATTTCAACTGCCTCCTTAACATCTCCATTCAGATTATCTACTACCACACAAAAGTTAGTGTCTACACACCCAGCACTTGGGAGGCTGAGACAGGAGGATCACCCCAAGTTTGAGGCCAGCCTATATTACGTGGTGAGACCCTATCTCAAAAAAACAAAAATAACAAATCTTAGTACAGCCAATATTAATCACTTCATTCCTTAAAATTGCTTTTCTTCCTGTACTCTTATTCTGTTACAATATCTTCTACTGGCACAGACTCCAACCTTGTAGAACTTTGAAGGATTTACTCTTCTCTTGCCTTGTAAAGTGAATGGGCTGGGAAAACTGCAATTTTCCCCAGTATTGCTCACATCTTTCAGCTTCTATTTTTAAAGTCCCTTCTTCCTGGCTGGGGTCCTTATTACTTCACATACGGACTATTCTAATAAATTGCCTTTTACTGCTCTTCCCTGTACCACTGAAAACACTGCTGTTAGATGACGTTTCTTAATACAAAGTTCTAAATATATCATTCCCATAATCACAAATCTTCAGTTCATCCCTACTGTCTCCTTTTAAAGTCTAAATTCTTCTGTCTAGATTTCATGTCCCATTACTAATTCACGTATTTATATTATACATCATTCCACAAAGAACTTGTGGCAACTTACAGAAAATACAAATAATCAAACAGTAAAGTATAAATCACAAATGAAGATCAAGAGTAAGAACAACGTTAGTTAGAACAGATATAAAACTAGGGTTAGGGTCAAAAAGACTGTGAGATCTTACAGGGTTTCTAACATTGAATCCTAAATTTGGCACCAAGTCTTTAGATGTTGAAATGGAAAGGAAAATAGTTAAATGATACTTATTATCAGTCAGCAGAACAAAACTTTCCCTTTGGAGGAAAATTATTTTCCTCTTATGCTTATGTCTAAAAAGTACTTTATGACCTTTAAAATGAGTTCACAAAGATAAGGGAAGGATAAGATCTTCAACCATATTTTTTAGAACAAATACAGTTACTAGTTTCATGAGATTATTTCAAAAGCAATCCTCAAAGAACCCTAACAACTAAATGAAACCCAGTATTCAAAATTATAGAGAATTTGTGTTGGTTGGAATGAGGATAGTTTAGACTCCATGGTGGGGAAGGCCCTAAAAAGCTTAGGGCAGAGATTAGTAATCTTTTCAGAGCAGCTCAGAGTATGAAAGAGTCATATGAATGTCTCAATTTTTTAGAAAACTTCATGAGTGTTATTGTCGGATGGGAACTCTGTTGTCATGTACTTAACCTATTACACAGAAATCAGGAGCCATGTGTGAACTTGCTTGTTAGAGAATCCAATCCTCCAAATGTTGCTTTTGTACTCAGTCCTAAATTCTGTGTTTTTCTTCACCATTTGCTAATAACATTACACTACTATATTTGTTATACAAATATAGTTTCCTTAATTTTTAACAATCATATGTTTTCAGAAAATAGAAAGATGTGTTTAGGCCCAAGAGGATGGTGGGGCTCTAGAGCTTAGGTTTTCTATCCTGACCCACAAAATTGCACTCTTTGGTTTTAGATTTTCAGTTCACTGGGTACAAATGTATGCGGCATCTTCCATCCCTTACCATTTCAATTTAGAAAATTAGGAATTGGCCAGATGAAAAAAATGTTTAAATCTAGATCTAAAAGGAGCTTTGCAGACTGAGATTTTAACAAGTATAGTAAGTTGTGGTACCATGCTGGTGATAAAGCAATGTTCAGAATTACCGTGGCCAATGAATATGTGAATATACAGCTTAGATCAAATACTATCAGCCGTAAAACAACTTACAATTGAGATTCCATCCAAAGCTTTCAGTTCTGGAAGATGATATATTACAAACAACCGGTAGTTTTCTTCATTGCACACCACAACGTTCCCGTGCATGTCTAGAATTACCAGGTTGCATAAACCCTAGGTAATGAAATAGAAGACATTTACATCTCCTATGTTGTCTCACACTCCAGCACGTTTTTCTAAGAGGTTAATCATCCTTGAATTATGTGAATTATCTAGAACTTTATGGACTGTGTTTAATTTTGTTAGTACCCGTTTGCAGAACATGATTACACTCATCGTGGGGAGTTGCTATATCTATATAACACATCTTAATTCTTTCTTCATCCCCTTTTCTCTTTGCTCCCCAGCCCTCTTGTCTTGGTCCCGTTCTCCTTTGTAAAAGATGTATGCCTGTTTTTCCTATTGTCTATCTTTTATTTTATTCTTTATTTATATTTTGGTTTTCTCATATAAGAGTAGCCATATGATGTTTAAACTCGTGTCTGATTTATCGCACTTAACATTATAGTCTCAAGGCACATCCATTTTCCTACAAATGGATCCTTCTTTATAGCAGAGAGCTCCATTGTGTATAATAGCACATTTTCCGTATCTACTCATCTGTTGATAGATACACTGGCCATTTCCAAGATTTAACGATTATGAATTGTGCTGCTATAACCATGGGTATGCGTGTATCACTGTGATGTGGTGTCTTCAACTCTTAGGGGAAGATTGTCTAGAACAGCAATAGCTGGGTCAAATGAAATTTTTAGTTTTAGTTTCTTGAGGAACCTCCACACTGACTTCGACAGTGGTCGTACTAGTTTATATTTCTACCAACAGTGCAGAGGGGCTCCTTTTCCCCTGCATCCTAGAGAGCCATGCTTTATGCAGTGAGACAGAATCTGTGTTGTTTTTATTTACATTTCTTTGATGGCCAGTGATGTAAAATTTGTTAAGAGAGCTTTTAAATGCAAGGGTTACTCTTTCAGACTGCTACGGTATAATTTTGTGTAATACGAGTATTTCAGTGGTCTATGTTATATGATTAGAATCCCTTTTAGGATTAGTACTATATGTATTATCTATCAGAGAGAGAATCAAGATTCATACGGACAAAAGTTAGAGACTCTGTTCCCCTACCAGATTGGGGAGTCTTGGCAGTATTGAAGATGTACTTATTAGGAAGAATCGGTTTGTTGTTTCTCTGAGTATTAAAAAACTACCCCAGAAACATCCAACTGTGATCACATGCACACACACACACTCTGAATGCATGTTTGTTAACTTCGTTATTTTAATTTTTTTATATATATTTTTCTACATTTTCCATATACAGTGGATTCATTATTTTTATAGTATAAACAATCAATATTTAAAAACATAGGACCAGGGATTTAGCTCAGTGGTTCGGCCACCTGCCTCACAAGCACAAAGACCCGAGTTCAATCCCCGGTACAAAAAAAAAACCAAAAGCACAAAGAATTAACACCCCGGTTGGTCACCTTTAAATTGTAGATCTCCTGATTGACAGCAATGTAGTTATTGCTTATGTATAATTCAATTAGAGTGAAAATCTTTTGTAAACCACTCAGTGAAGTAATTCTGTTATTCTCAAGAGAAAGGAAGTGAAGATGAAGCATGTTATCAAAAGTAGGCTTTTCCAAACCAGCGAGAAGGTTGTTATTTATGCTGAGGCGGGTTAGCTTAGTCAGCTTGGAAATGCCTAGAAAACAATAAACAAATTCAAAGAAAAATTCACCAGCCTCTGAAAGGCTAATTTTAAAGACAATTTTATGGTAACACTCTAAGTTCAAATAGCTTCAAGGATTCTGTTGTTTCAGAAAGACACAATCTTGTGTACAAAGTCGCATGCCACACACCATATTTTAACTTTGGACTCCTAAGTAGATCTGTTGTTCTAATTGTTAAGGAAAAGCACTATATAGGAAATACTTTTCTTTTTCAAATAACGTTTAGAATAGTGTACTTAAGATTTTCACCTTCATGACAACACAAAGGTCCAAATAATCACTAGTCCACATTTGTAAAACGTTAAGGGGAAGAAGCTAGAGGATAAACCTTAGAAAGGGGTGATTCATTATGAAATCATATGAATTAAAGATAATTGTTTAGCTTACTTCAGCCATTGTATACTTAGAATCACTCTAAGACTGGAAGTTCTGAAAATGGTACCTCTCACCAGGATGTATTCCTATGGATGTTACATACTATAAGCACTTTAATTTGTAGGCAGGATAGATCACTTGAAGGATAAAAACGTTGGAGTCAGAGCTGGTTTCAACTAGATTTGGGATGACAGTACACTATGTACCTTCTGAGGGTCAATTTCCTCATCCATGACAGGGACATACTAAACTGTTCTTCTAAGAAGTTATGGAAATAAATGGAGTGATTTTGGGAAATAGAGAATAAGAGGAAGCTATTAACAAGTCCTAGAAGGTTTATCTCTATTTCTTCCCAGATCCACAGTATTAAGTAAGGGTAAGAATAAGACAAGGTCAGGAAAAATAAATAAAAATATAAATATAACCCAGATAATGTACTCAATCTTGGTGGGGGGGAGGCAGGAAAAATCTGTTTTATTCTCTCTGGCCTCATAAGACATGTTTTAATACTGCACTTTAAACAGTCAAATAAAATATACTGGTCTCATTATTATTGAGACATTACCTAAAGCTGTTTAATTGTATTTGTGGATCCATATCCAAGTTATACATAGTGCATTTGGTTTTCAATCTCCAGAGAATATAATTTTGTTTTTGTTAAAAGCCTTAGCATTTCCAAATGTGATCTTAATTCCATATTTTAAACAATGAACTATGCTGTTTTATCTTTTTCATTCATCCATGTATAGAACCACATCCATCAGGCCTTGGCAGCAGACAGGAACTGCAGGCACAGACAGAGGTGCAGTCAGTTTTCTCTGTGTACTGGTTTGTTACAATCCCACCTGACAGATACTGGGAACACTCTGCTGAAAAGTTCCTCGGAATCTCTATGAGGTTCTTCCTCAGTGTTACTAATTTTCATGTGGGCTATGTACACATTCATGCTTTGCGACTTCAAGGTTCTCAAGTGCCCTACCTTCTATTTTTGAGATGCAGTTTCCGTCGAGTGTGAGCTCTTGCAAGTTAATACAGGATTCCAGGCCCTCCATTTTAGTCAGATTATTATTGCTGAATGATGCCCATTTCAAATTTTCCAATTTTTCTAAATTTTTTATTTCGAAGAGATGTTGTCCATCTAAATTTAAGGCAGTTATCTACACAATAATTCACATCATATGTGATTTGGAATCTTATAAATGAATTCAATCAAGCTTAAAAAGGTCAATGAAATAATAATTCAAATTTGATAAAAGAATTTCTTCAGTAACTAAAAATATTGCAAAGCTCTTGCTTTATACAAGTAAAATTTGACAAGAGTATAATTCCCACAGGGGTTTTGTGGTACTACGGACACTGTGATGTATTGGGCAGTTGCCACTGCAGTGCAGGACATGTCCCAGCTCCTGGCCCTGCAGAGGCTGCTGCTCCTCTGTAGGTCAGGGTCCTTCCCAAATTGGCCCACAGCCAACAACGGAGACAGGCAACAGCCCGGCCTTCTCAGTCCTACTTGCAAGTCATTTAAAGGGCTGTTCTAATTCCAGAACTCTCCACGGGGGTCAGCCAAGGCTGTCACTGGGCCTGCACTGCAGGTCAGTATCGTGCACATCCTGTAATAAAAGTAATGCCACTGATACTTTTCATTTTCAACAGCTGCTCTTAACCCAGTTTCTATCTTCGTTAAGTTCCTTTGCTGTCAGCCCAGTTCTTATCATACAGGCTGTAGATAGAGCCCTGGTGAGTTCAGGCAACATTACACAGCAAGACGTTAGCAGTGCCTTATGACCTTCTCCCTTATCTCCGGCTGAACTCTGACTCAGTCCCTTGCACCCACTTTTGGCTTCCTCTCTGGCTGTAATCCCTTAAAGTTTGCTGGCCTACTGTGACATATATCCAAAACGGCCCTTTAGTTTGCTGTTTGTCTTCACCCCCAATCTCCAGTTCTGTGGTAATAAGAGTCAGAGCCTATTCCTTGTGACATCTGTTCACTTATTTTAGTTTTGAAATGTAGTGAATTTTTATTTCCTAATAATAAGTCTTTTTTATTTTCTAAGTTTACTGAGAGGCAACAAATTTAAAATTGTATGCATTTAATGTGTACAACTTCACTGTGAATGAAATGGTGCATAATCTCAATTATATGTTGATTCTAATTAATGTAGCTCTCAATGAACATAGAAGCAGAGAGTAGCATGGTGGTTACCAGAGGTTGGAGGCAAAGGGGAACAGAGGTGTTGGTCAAGGTGCCAACATTTCAGTAATGCAAGATAAAGCAGTTCAGGAGAGTTAATACACAATATGATAACGTTAAAATACTATGTTTAAAATTTACCAAGAAGGTGAACCTTAAATGTTCCTTGCCTATCTCACTTTAATTCATCTCTTCCAGTTTTCTGTTCCTTACCTATTTGTGCCTTCTTTTATGATATGCAGACCAAGGTTGACTTACAAAATTAACTTAAATAAAGCTTTTATATTAGGTTTAACAAAGTTAGCCATTACCTTCAAGTACCAGTTTCCACCCAGATGTAAATGTGGTCCCAACTTTGAAATTTGTGTCAGAATTTTGGCAGAAGGCCATATACTTAGTATCCGTGGTCGTTCCTCTTTAGTGCTAGAGTGCCGTAAGACACATGACTAATAATATAGAAAAAAAGGTGAATAGAAGGATAATAGAGGTTCACCAGTACATAGTTTAAGAGTGTTATTTCTAATGGAAGTGCATAGTCCAATATATAATTTTAAAATAGCACATTTCCTTCGCCTTAAAGTATTTTCAATGTCAGGCTATATTTTAATTATTCATTTGATTGCTCAAGAAACAAACTATTACAAGATAAAATTGCTGAAACTTTGAAAAGAATTACTAGAATACAAACATCACTCACAAAGCCATCTTGGGAGCTGGGATTTCTCTAATTCCCTATACGTTTGCTATGGGCCCCCATCCTAAGATCTTACCTCTACATCGCCTTAGAAACAATCATCCCTCTTTCAATTTTTTTTCTAGTATTCACTTGCTTTTTTAATAGTCTATGTCTATGTCCCTAAACAATGTAATTGGTCTTGAGTATACGTGAACTTGATGTACACCAGATAATGTCTCTTTATGCTGCTTGTTTTTCTTCTTCGATATCATACTCAAGAGAATCAAGGCCTCTGCTGTATATGCAGCTGGAATACATTCATGACACTGCTGGGCAGTGTTGCCTTAAAGACCCTCGCGTAGAACAACTGAGGTCAGTTCAGTTTCTCGGCTGTTACGGGCAGTGCTGTCATGTCTGCTTTTGTGCATATCTCTTGGTCCATACACTCAAGTGTTTCTTCAGAGCCTGTGCTCTGCTGTATGGAAGTGTGCACTGTGTGTGTGTAGTTTACAATGAAAAGTGATTGTACTGATTGTGTTACTTAATATTCGTGCTGAAACCTGATATTGTCAGGCTTTAATGGTCAGTAGGTCGTTATGATTTTAATGTTCATTTTCTTGAAAACTTATGTGGTGATGCATATTATCTGCGTCAATTGGCCATTCTGATTTCCTCCCCAGTGAAATGCCTGTTCAATTTTTTCTGTTCGCTTGGTTGTCTCTTTCCTTATGTATTCTGGATGGGTAACGAATACCTTTTGACACTGTGTTGCAAATTTTTTTTCTCAGTATTACCTTGTCTTTTTTTCTTTTCATTATGGTGTCCTTTGAAGATAACCCAATCTTTCATGGTCTATGATCTTTGTTTCAGGCCTAATAAATTCTGCCTTAATTCAAGGTCGTAATGACAATTTCTGGTATTTTCTCCTAGTATGTTTTGGTTTTGCCTTTGCAGTGAGGTGTTTAATGTACTTGTCCCAGTCCCTTTTATTAAATAGCCTCTCTGATCTTCAAAGGCAACTCTGCTATTTTTCAAGTTTCCACAGATGTATGGGTCTCTAATGGGTTTTTATTCTGTCCTATTGGTCTATTTGTCAACATCATATTGTATTGAAAAATTTTTATTGTAGGTTAAGTCCCCAGATTTCTAGGTATTCTTCATAAATACTAATTATATTTTATCAACAAAAAAGATTTTCTCCTTCATTTTGAATAGATAAAAAATACAAGACATTGTTTAAGAGATTAATATTTAAATACCTGACAAAAAGTAAAGAGCTAGATAACTAGAGTAGAGATATTGAGAATATCGAAACTATTTTGGCTAACGTACAGCATTCCTAATCTGGATAAATAGGTATATCCCCTCCCCCATGTTAACAGGTTTTGTTCTTTTCAGCCAGACATATATAATGTCATCACTAAGTAGATGATGCACTAAATGGTTTGGCGAAGCCTCTAAGCTTACTTGACCCTTAGAAAGTTGTTCATTTTCATGCACATTCTACAAAGGTAAGTTTGGGTGACTAGGAAAAAGCAGTTATCCTGGGACAGTGGCGGCAAACCTCTGGCAGGCACGTGGCAACGGGCTGTTTGTTAGCACTGAAAGCTCTAAAACTTTCGCCGCCATCACTCGTGCTCAGGGCTGTTACCAAGATGGCCGATACACCCAGCTGATATTTCAATGGGGTATATCCGAACCGAACAGAAGACAATCAAGTGGCACGACTTCTAATTTTTAATTAACACCCTAAGAAGGAATACGAAATCTTAAAGATAACAAATACGTATGAGAAACATTATCTGTATGTTCCAGATAGCCCACAAAAAATATTAAATAGTAGAATCCAACCTGAGTGATCTTTGTTCCAGTAATAAATTTCAGGGCCGCTGTTGTTTCTTCTTCAGAAATGAGGAGCCCATCTAAATGCGTAAGAGTCTTCAATCTGCCAATAACACTCAGCCTCAATGTGGCTGGCTTGGGAAAAATAGCAAAAAGATAATTTTCACAAAAGATTACATATGTTATAAATGTCTCTTTATTCCTTTCCACATCATTCAAAACTATATAGTTCCTGTGTATCACATACAAGGTGCGATTAAAAATACAGTGATTATTTAAATTTAAAAAATTAATTTAGGAAACAAGACACAGTATCAAGAAAATAGGATAAGTGTGGGTGAACCTAAGGGGAGTATTTTATTTTGAGGGTAATCAATGGTACTGTCTGTTTTTACTGTGATACAATTTTTAAATTTACATATTAGCCATATTTTTGGATCACCCCCATTGAGCCAATGTTTGTGGCAGTTTCAGTCAAATAAAAACATTACAGTGTAACCTCATTCATCTCATTCACCAGATCTAGTACCATGCAACTTCACAGTCGTACTCAAGAGTCAAAATACCACAAAAGATAAATGTTCTGAATGGATTCAGGACACGATGTGGTCACTACAGTGCGGCTACAGACACTCACGAAAGAGGACGTGCAGAAAGGTTTCAGAAAGTGTTAAGAATAAGGGAGAGGATGCTGAGGAAGGCTGACGGCAATGTGTCTCTTACTTTGGTTATTTGAAATAGTTAAACACTCACTGTGTTTTTCAATCATAGCTCCTATGCGTAAAATTTAAGGCTTAATTCTTTATGTTACATTAAAAATAAATGATAGTTAAGAACTACTCTTTTTCTGTAGGGGGAAGGTGGGGAATGCACGAGCTGTTGGAGAGTGACTGGTGAGGACAGTTCAGAGAACTGCAGCCACCCCTGTTTATCCGGCACAGTGGGGAGAAGCGCCCTGTGCCATCCATAGGCTCTGTAGTCCCTCTGATACCCCGCCAGGGCAAATGGAGGATCGCTGTACTATTATCATCTAGGAAGTTAGCTTTGACAAAAGAAGAATATATTTTAATTATATAGAGCTTAGAGGAAAAAATACAACACTAGAAATTAATAATATGGCCACTTAAATAAAATGAATTATCCTTTAGTCCCTTTAAAAATGTTGAATGAAGCCTTATTCTTGAAATTATAAATTTGAGGTTTATTTAAAATACTTGGAGATATCCTTAAACATAATCACTTAAAATTTAAATCACATTATTTTATGATGATAAAAAATAATGTCCAAACAAATTTCCATTACAGCAAAATGTAAGGCTTCATGATGGGGGTTTCTGATGGGTGATTCCTGGACTTAAAATAGAGAAAAAGCAATGCAAACTGCAAAGTAAAATTGTAAAACATGCTTCTCAAACCTAGATTAAGATACATTGTAATCAAATTGCTTCCTCCTTAATGATGTGCTTCTGTTTTGGCTCTTGTACTTCTTTACAGTATGGTCCTGGCATTCAGCCATACAAACTCAGGAAGCTTGCAAATGGCAAGGATGAAAGTTACTCTTAGGGCATTGTTTTGATTTTCACACCGAATGTAAATTTTAATTACAAAACAAGAATATGAACAAAACATTTACGAATTATCTGGCAACTCATCACATCATTGCAACAGACAAATTTGACCTTAAGTTTAATTTTATGAAAAATTTAAATTGGGCAACTTGTTCATAGGGGAGTTAAAACATGTTTTTAAAAGAACCTGGCCAGAAAACCAGCTTGTATCCTGAAAGAACTGTGTATAAAAACAACATAAAATCCCAAAGCTGAGTGGGCAGGAGTAACCTAATTGCCAATGCACTTCTGTTCCCTGAGAAATAAGGGAGGCATCTCGGGATGGCTTCAGAGCAGACAGTGGTGAGGAATGAATGCCAACAGCAATGGTTTTAAAGTAAAAGATGTTACTAAAAGTCTGACATGAAATTATAGCCCCCGATTCCCTAGATTACTACACTTTATGAACTCTCCCAGAACAGTTCGCCTTTTTCTGGCTATGATAGAACAGTAAAGTAGTGAGAAAATGGCTTTGAAATCAAAGCACGTGCTTTTTCACAACCAGGCTTGTTGCACACCTTCTGCCATGGGTTGTGTTGAATATTGAGAGTGAGGAGGCTTGTGGTGTGTTTGCATAGCACATTGATTTCATCCCCAGATTTTTTCAACTGATTCCAGCTCAAGTCCAAGTGCTTCAGTTTCAGCAGACCTCTGAATCCTTCCAGGGTGATGACGTGGTTATGGCTTGCGTCCAAATATTCAAGGTTATACTGTAACACATAAGACAGAAGTGATGCTGAGATCATGATTTGTATTTATATAATTCCTTTTTTGTTTTTTAACTGCTTTCTTAAAATGGTTACAGAAAACCCTTGCCTATGTAGAATTTTGTACCTCTTTAATACTTTCAGGATCATTACATATGCTTCAAAATTATTTTTCAGGGCTGCATAATAATATAACTTGTGAATTACTATACTTCTTTAAACATTCTCCTAGGGACCTTTCTGTTTCTAATTGTTAGCAATATTGCAGCAAATATTGTTGAAATGACATTTTCACAGCAATTTAGAAAATTTTTTTGAACAGACGTTTAGAAATGAGAATTGTAGTCCTGAGAATTGTTTTGCTGTTTGTTTGTTTGTTGAGACAAGGTCTTGCTATATGATTTAGGCTGATTTTGAACTCATTACACATCCTTCGCTGGCCTTGAACTTGCAACAATCTTTCTGCCTCAGGCTCCTGAGTGCTGGGATTACCAGCATGTACCATCACACCTGACTAAGAATTTTTATATCACTGAGAGTTAAAAATAGTGCCACATGGCTTTCAAGGAAGTGTGAATCAATATTTTCTTCCAACGGTAGAAAATGAGAACACTCACTTCCCTCATACTCACCAACCCACCTGTTCGCTTCAGTTTACCTTGTTTATTGCCAATGAAGTTGAACATCTTTCCGGGTGTTTTTATTAGCCATTTAAAATTTTTTTTTGCTTGTTAAATGTCTTGATTCTGGCTATTTATTTTGCTTATTTGTAGATAATCTCTAATATTTTAAATTGTTACTTATATTTGTTGCAAGTAAAATTTGCTTTTAAGATATAATTTATTCTGATCCAGAACAATAAAAAGATAAAGTGAACTTTAAGAACTTACTGTACAAGACAGCTTTTAAAATGAAAAATATCATATTAAAAATAAATGAGATTTTTTTTGCAGCTTAATTAAAACAACCCACAGAATTAGGCACTCCTTTGAAATGCACAGTTTGTATTGTTGGAATAATACTTAGTTATGGTGATTCAGATTTCAAGAGGTGAACACACAGATCATCAAAACATAAGAAAAATTCTGTAAAACAAATATAGTTATTGACTTGTTATTCTCATAAGTAAGCATAGACAAGTAAAACAAAGCAAAATCTTTAATTTACCATCATCATTTCTTGAACAAAAGGGTACTTCTGAGTAAAACTGTACAGAAGGCATAAGCTTGAAAAGAAGTCTTTTTAAATAAAATCAATTTCGTTTTGGAAAAATTTACTTCGTGGCTCTTCTTTTCTCAGTTTGCACGAAAGACTGGTGGAAGTCTGTCTCTGTGCATAGCCTCTGCCTGCAAACTGGCATTTGGGAGCCACACACCATGAAAAAGATAACTGGCATCTTCCCTAGAGAACGAGAGCAGATCTTCATTTTTGCATCCCCAGGAACTCAGTAAATATTCATGGGGTGGTATTTTCAGCTTTGAAGTCATGTTTTTCCGTTCCAGTATTTTTTGTACCTTAGTTTAAAAATCTGTCTCAATGTACAGTACAATCTAATTTAAAAATATGAAAACTTGTAATAATTTATTTACATTTTTTCAGGAAGACTGATTTATTCTCTAAATATAAATTGGCTGTCCCTAGATGTCAGAAGCATCTTAACTACCGAGTTCTCATTCAATAAGGTAAGACAATGAGAAATACTGTTCAATAAAACATTAGGAGTGTAATCTAAACTAAGGCTGCAATTAGCCATGCACATATGTCATCCATGCTCTGGTCAACTCCCCCTAGAGTGGAACTATTTTCAGAGCAGAAAAGGATATTTCTATGCCTTTCTTTTAGAAATTCTCTTTCCATGATAGTGTAGTTCAGGTAAATGAATGACGGACACGTAGCTTGGTATATACCGTGTTTAGAAGGCTAAACTATTCCATAAGAACAATACAGTATGATCTACTTAGCTTTCCACCATTTGTCAAGCCAGTGCTTCCCCTGAATAAACAAAATCTTAGGTTGTGTATATATAATATAAGGCCAAGATGATGAACACTGTAGTAATAATACATTTTATTTCCTCTATGAGGTAAAACCAAATTAACACAAAAAAGCTCAAAGGAGCACAGAAACTGCCCATATCAGATACATGCTTAAGGGAAATATTAACAAAAATGAGATATCCCCAGGAAAATTACAGTTAGAAGAGAGGAATCCTAAATGGGTGATTAAATTAGAGCATAACATTTTATGATATTGGGAAAAACATAGTATTAAATAAGTGTAAATACCAATTCTTACTGGAGAACACAGAGGTGGTGGCAGTGTAGGTTTTCAATATCTCCAAACCCTCAGATAAAAAACAGCGCAAATAAATAAAACCAAAACCCGAGGGACAACATTTGTAAATAAAACAAAACAAAAACCGCACTACATTCAGTGTACTCTATAAACCCCTCCAAAATTTGACAGAGATGAGCCAGTGAGAAGTACTAGACCTGCACCCAAATGGCTTCCGGACCCTGCTGGTTTCCTCACGTGAGACAGTATCTGATACCCTTCTTTCCATATGCTTCTGTAGACTGGCAAGTGCATCTCTAGGTTGCAACAGACCCAGTTTCCATTTGTTTGGCAAAACAACTGTTTGACAAGACTATAGGAGGCACGTGATATCTGGTTGTCTCACTCTTGTGAGGGCAGGAGTCATAGGTTCATTGGTACCTGAATGTTTCTCATCGCTAGTCTTTATGCTGGTCTACCTCTAAACATTTGGATTGTCTGGAATATGTCCCATTATAGGCCCTAGAAAGGGATTATGAAACAATATCAAAGAACTGTGTACCTTTGGGAAATAGCAGGGAACCAATTCAGCGCAGTGTTTATTCTGCACTTTCTATATGAATGCTACCAACAGGTAACAAAATAATAGACAAGGAGAAATGTATCTTTGTAAAGGTATTCAGAAGAAACAGAAATGACAGACTAGGAATAACATCATTTTGTCATTTCCAATAAATTACTGGATCTAGTTATTAAGGAAGGCATATAGGGTTGTACCTTAAGCTAATCGGAAGGGTCAGGGCTGTGGAAAACTATTTGGGCCAGAAAACCCAAGCACTTATAAACCATAGGGAACGAAAGAGGGTGAAAAGAAAAACTTTAAAGAAAAATAGATGTAAATGGCATAGTACAAAGGTGCTTTAGGAGTAGTGAGCTTTATTGTTAGATTATATTTCTATTTTTACACAGTGTATGTGCTGCCTCTAAAATAATAATAAAAAATAATAAGCTGCAACAAAAATAACTAATTGATAAAAACAAAAAGTACAGTACACTTTTCTTTGAATGGCAAAGTCAAACGGTTGTGCTGGGGATGTACATTTGGGTGACAAACTAGTTGGAGAAACTGCAGGGAGAGGATTACTGCAGAGGTCAGGGTAAGGATTTCTCGTGGAGAGAGGAAAGCAAACGAGGAGATCTTTCCCCAGGTATTTCGTGACCTGGATGCTGGTTCCAAACACATTTTTCTTACAACAATGTTCTAAGTCATACATTTCTTGTATTTAGTTTTCTGCATCTGTTTTATTTTACAAAAAGGGTTTAAAATTGCACATATATACCCATGTAGATTATCTCCTCTGGTTATCGGCAACATCGGAACAATCATTTTTAGACATACAACAGATACTTGACGTAAGAGGAGTCTATTAGCCACCCTTGCTGATCCTAAAATTCAAGAAAACCACGTGGGCATAACATTTGCCCAGGTCCCTTATCTGTAAAGTTACTATGGTAAAATCCATCCCTCAGGCTGGGATGATGAAAGCAACTTTTGTATTAAAGGAGAACAAAGCCATGTTGTGAAATAACACATGCTAGGCAGCCAGCTAACTTCAGTCACTATCCCAGCACACTGTACGACTGAAATGTTTACTCTTTGAATTTGTGCCTAAGCAAACCTATAATGACAAACATAGCCTCTGGAACAGTTTGCAAGGCATAAAAAAATTAAAATGCCAGCAATCTACAGTCCTGGGACCTCTACTAAACGACTCCAGCCTCAAACTTATTTTTTTATTCAGCTGCATACTGAAACCAGGAATTCTACGTACTTAAAGGGTTAGGCCTACCAAAAGAAAGAAGGAAGGGGCTTAATACTTAAACTTAAGGCCAGTAAATAAAGTAATAGCTCTCACCACAAAGGTAAAGAAGCAACGAAAAGCTTTTATATGGTTGCAAGGAGATAGAGAATAAACAAGAGCTGAGAATAAAATAGTCTGAAAAAGTATGATTAACTTGGACTCGCATATACAGGGGGTACTGGGTTGAAATTCTAGAACCACATATATAATTACATGTGGTTATATATTATATAATTATATTATATAACAAAGCCATGCCTATGATATGCACATCAGTGTACCTGTCTTAGTCTATATAAAAAGGCATACACAAGTCAAGCAAGATCTATACATGTGACAGGTGGAAAGTACAAGAGAAAAAGAAATGATAACCTGGATAATAAATAGATGGGAGGAAGAGACAATGCTAGATGCGAAGTCTCAAGACAGAAAATGAAGATAAAACAGGGACTCACAAGGAGGAATAGAAGAGGAGTGGGAAACAGGAGCAGAAAGAAATGGAAATTCTGCTCAAGGACATTTTAAAAACCAATTTGAGAAGTTATTTTAATGTGTTTAAAGTAGCTAGAGATCAGATATGAACAGAGATATATTTTTGGTTCACAAATGAAAAGACCTGCTTTAGAGAAACAACAAAATACAGGGTGTGTACACTTTCTTTTTTTTTTTTTTTTTTTTTTTTAATTGAGTTTATTGGTACATTTAGGGATACAGTACAGTTACATTCATTGTTGGGATCATGTACCTTTACATGGCAAGTCTTGATTCTCATTTTTTTCCCCTTACCTCTGCCCTCCCTTCTCCCCCTCCTCCCCCCCCC